ATTGTTTCAATTGCAACTACTTCATGCTTGTGAAAAGAGGTCACGGCCGAGTTTAATATGAAAGGAGAATGAATCGGACAATAACTCACTTATTTTCATTCTCAGTTTTATAATTTGTCAGTATAAACCATATCAAAAGAACTTGAAGTGCCTTTTTTATAGTACTTATAATGCTATATTCCCGTACATGAAAAATCCCAGTACCAAGAGTTATAAGTGTGATTGAAATAAACTAAAGAAAGATTAGAGACACGTAAGTACTCAAGCATACACGATAACAGAACTATACACGATATCTTACCTTGAGAATTCAGTAACTTACTTACCTTTTCCGCCGATCAGAAAAGCCTAACTCGCATTGGAAAGCTTGGGGAAGACTACTTGTATGCAGGAAGCATACTTTACTTTGTTCAAAACGGGTTTGTGGCACCATATTCTGTAGTATTTAATGACTCTAGCAAAAACTCGAAGTCTATGAAAAAGTAAATAGACCCTTACTATTGACGGTCCTATAATTCTTTAACGCACAACTCAGGACTGGCCATTCGAAAATGAAATCAAGCAAGAAACTATACTATTCCCTTTTAAAACAAAGATTTATAAAGTGAGTCCCTCGGGTGGACTGCGTGGGCGTGGACAGCCTACAAGCTGTCTGTGGAGCGACCCCGGGTTGTATTCTCGGTCGGGGTATAATTTGATATGTTTTCTATTACACTCGTCTTAATTTCTATTGCTGTGTGACGAAAGAAAACCTCCTACAAGCCAAGTATGCTAGACATGGTGATGGGAATTCACGCTCGCCACGTATCTCCCTACCCCCAGGCCGAAGTCTGGGAACACCGCTAGCTGTCAAATGTTGAATTAATCCGACCCTAAAATGCCAAGTATCTACTATGTACATTTACAAAATGCTGAATATTCGCACAGGGTCGGTTACGTAGTACTTTTTTATTATGTTTATCTTTATTATATTACTTATTTTACATCCATTATTATTTACTTTTTCTTTAATTTATTTCTCATTTATTTATCTATTAATTGAATTACAAAGGCGAAACTTCTATTCGTTCCGCTATTCGATGTTCTTCTCCGAGGGCAGCGTGGCTTGCGGCACGCGGCGTGGCACGGCGTGACGTGGCAAGGGGGGGGGGCAGAAAGTTCATTTGTCGGGCGTGTGGACGCGACGCGCGATTTACGGAGATTTATGTTGCGAACTTCATCACGCCCAGGGCGCCCCCTGTCGCTCTGGAACACGGCCTCGCTGCTGGCGTCCGTCCGCCCGCCCGCCCGCCACCGGGTCGCGTTATACGGCAGCGCCTCTCAAATTAGTTTAGCGGATTCTACGAACCCATATACTTCCAGTGTTCAAAGGTATCGCAAAATTATGTTACAAGTGCTCTGCTCAGCCATTCGACAGTTTGTTATATGCACAGGCGTGCTGATATGGGGGCGTGTCCCCCGCACATGGGGGCAAGTCACAGGGGCCCCTTAGCCATGTACAATAACATTTTATTTCCGGCAATATGATCAATTCCTGATTTCCCCCTTTTTTAAGACGACAATTTGGGGAATTATATACATTTGGAAACGAGGCTTTCCAAACCATCTGGCAACATGTAAGTGATTTAACACAAAAAATAATTTTATTTATTAATTGTATTATGCTTTATTTAAAAATTAATAAAATATATCATTTGTGAAAAGCTTAATGGAAAAGGGTATCTAGGAGGAGGGTCTCAGAATTGTGAATTGTTTTAGACTGTACACGCCTGTATTATATATGTGCACGTCGGTTATACGATAGCGTTTTTCAAAAGGCTTTGATGAAGCCTACACTTATATTTTTATTTATAGGGTCGCTGCAAAATCGTGATAGGTTACTAGGGTATTTCCCCCGATTTGTGTTACCGACAGGTTTTCTCAAATTATTTTGACAAATATTGCATTTCCACAGTTCTCAGTATTTTTTGTGTTCCAGGATTTCGTAAACTTCCATCAGAAGTGTTACGTTAACTCATTCTTTGGCCGCCTCTTCCTGTTGTGCGCCAGCATTTCTTAAATCAGATTAGAGAGGTCCATAATTTCACTGTAAAGTGCGAATAAAATTTTGTTGGATAGTTTCAGAAATGGAGGGGCAAGTATAATACGCGAGTATCGCGAAAAGAAATATTTCTTTCAAAACTTCATTTTATTTTTCAATGTTACAAATGGATTTGGATATGGACATCCAAGTGTAACGATTTTACATGCTGACGTTGAAATTTGCAAGTAATTGTCAATTTTAAACATTATTGCAACGAATAATATGAGTTTCGTACTGAAGATTTCTCAAGTTTTCATCCAAAAAAACCTGAGAAGCTTGTGCATGAGGGGGATACATTTGATAAAATAGGATATTTAAGTTTGTTTTTTTTTGTGTGTGTGCTATATGCGCGAGATATTTTGTCTGACAGCGCGAGGAGTGGAGAGAGGAAAGCTAAGCACCCCTACTTTCTCAAAACTCAAAAATGTTTATAGTGAGTCAACAAGCTAATTTTGGCCACTTTCACGCAGCTTTTAACATTTTGAAACTCGCCTCTAATTACAAAAAAGCACCCCAATGTCTCAAAACTCAAAGATTTACAAGTTTGCCAACTGCAAACGAACGAAGGAGAGTCAAATGAGCTGAAGGACACAAAGACCACAGAACCTTACGTAATATCACCAGCACTAACTGTCAAAACGGTCCTCTCCCATAAAAATCGCTCTATAGCATAAGAATCCACTTCATGCATATGTAGTCTGTATGTTTTCCAACACCTTTTACAGTAGGCAAAGCAAAACGTATTACGAAGATTTTACGCACATGGCTGAGTGTGTTTTGCTTAAAGGCCCATTCACAATGAAAACACTAACGTTAGCATGGCGTTAACATAAAAGTCCATACATCCATAAGCGGACTCATTCACAATGCGTTCGCTTAAGCATAATACGTGAGACGTTAACTTAAAAGCTTGGAAGCTTATGTGCTTATACTTAAGACAAGAAATGAACCAATCACAGAACAGTAACTCAAAATCGAGAATCGAAATTGGAGCGAAATCGATAGAACTAACACCTTATGGGCCATGGACACAGTCGATACCTCAAAATCGATTCTCACATCCAACCACTAGTAAAATAGAATGCCTCATAGCCAATAGAAACTTTATTTTGCTTACGTTACGTATATACGTTATGCTTATGTTTATGTTTGCATTGTGAATGGGCCTTAACAATGACAGTGGTGGAAACGTGACTATTGAACTGTGAATAAAGCGTGAACTGAGCATCAAGGCGCCTGTTTGCATCACTGTTCATTGACGACGATTTTGTTTTAAATTTTGGAGACTCCTCCGTAACTGTTGGCAGGTGTTTCTTGGCATATGTTATTGAAGGCAGACACGAGCTCTGGGCCGACGTTTCCAGAGCATTAAGGCCCAGTCACAAAGCAATCAAACAAGCATGACGTTAATATAAAAGCACTACGTCCACAAGCGGACTGTGCGTTCGCATAAGCATAACACGTAAGACATTAATTTAAAAGCTTGCAAGCTTTAAGCTTCTGTGCTTATGCTTAAGACAGACATAAGAAATGAACCAATCACAGTATGTTAACTCAAAATCGAGAATCGAAAGAGGAGCGAAGTCGATAGAAAAACTAACGCCACATAGGCCACGGACACAGCCTATACCTCGAAATCGATTCTCACATCCAACCAATAGTAAACTAGAATGTCTCGCAGCCAATAGAAACTCTTATTTTTCTTACGTTTATTTCAGACATTGGAAATACTTCAGGCTATCACTTATATTGATGTATACGCCTATGCGTTATGCTTATGTTTACGTTTGCATTGTGAATGGGCCTTTATGGAAGGGGTCGCGGCACGCCCCGAGCTGTGATTTCGAACGGCGGTGATGAAGCATTGCAGACTCTGGTGTGGGATGTGCAATTGGACATTTAAACAAAATACATTTTCAAACCTTTCTTTTGGGGAAAAAATACAAAATTATTGCGACTGGAGAACCTACACCACAAGTTCATATTGAGTGTCGTTCGAAAGGGAAGAAGAATTTCATACGACATTTTCGACCACAAATATACGAGAATGTTCCGTGGGTAAGTGGATGCAGAAACACCAATAAATTATTCTGTTGGTCATGTTTATTGTTTTCTAAAAAGAAATTCGTGAGGACGCAACGAGGATTCGATGGCCTTCACAATATTCACAAAGCACAGACTCACCATAAAACCAAGTTTCTCACATCCTATCCCTAATAAATTTCAAATTGTTTCGTAAACAAAGATTTGAATGCAGTCTCTGCGTGCTGTTTCGGTGGTCTGTACAACGTCACAACGAAGAAATTAAAACTAGTGAGGCTTCAACATCACATACTTTCTCACGTTTTTGGAAATATACGTAAATTTCACGGAAAAAAGGCTTAGAAAGTTAAATATGCATTGAAATACATTTCCGTGAAAATAGGCAAAATACATATTCGTCAGAATTGTTATTTTTTCATTACTTTTGCATATATTCCAAAAGCCTAAGGCTATCTTCAAAAACTACAGGTACCGCAAGATTGCTTATATATTGGTCAACGTACAAATTTAGCAAATCGCACATTGCTAGAGATCCGGTGACGCCGCAGCATTCGGTGCACCCTGATAACAGGCCACATTTCGGTTTCGTTCGTTCTCGATAATGGCAGTTCCGGAACTGGCTTTCTCGCACACAGCAGTATCGGCGCGCCTGGCCTCGCCGCTGAGAACAAACGGAACTGGGGGCGTTTTTGTCCGGCTCTACTAGTCGCTGTGTTGCTGCTCCCGAAAGCACGAGTTTCTCTCACAAACATTAGCAGTTTTCCAGCCCACGATTACAATACTTTCTCTTCTTACATTCGTAAGGGCCAGAAGAAAAAATAGCATTTATAAGCTGTCAATAAAAACTTCTTATAAAACATGAAAACTTCAACAATTATTCATTAAGCACATAAAAACTTTTTATTGGACAAAATGAAATTCCAGATACTTACATAAAATTCATTGACTTTTCCCTGAATCTGTCATTTTTAATTTTTTCTTGCCACTTCCGGGTTTTTCAGGCCCATTAAAACCATTTGATTGCTAGTTCATGTTTTTCATGGATCCCATGAATACCATGGGATCAGACCATTATGGCAAAGGAGATAACAAACACATTAGAATTATCAAAATTAACCATTAGCAAGGGAGATAACATACACATTAGAATTATCAAAATTAACCATTGGTACAATAATCAGCATTCAAATTTCCTGAAGACCTATCATCTTTCACTCTCAAAGCAAACAACCCAGTTTAAATTAATAAAACTAAATACAAAGACTTATATTTTATTCATGAGAAATGTTTTATCACAAAAAAAAAAAGAAAAAAAAAAGAAATACAGTATTACATGATACAAGAATTCTTTGCGATGTATCAAAGAACTCCACAAAGAATTTTAAAAAGTAAATGACAAAACTGTTCTATTAAGTCACAACAAAGAATTAGCAACTGCATGTACCCACTGTACAATGTGACGATCTTTCATTCAATTGACACATCTACACAAAAAGCAGTTCTACATCCTTAAAGAATATTATAAATACACAAGGTTGACTGAAGCCTAATCACCTTGTTTGAAATTAATAAATAAGTTTTCTTAACTTCTGCTCCAATGCTTTTACAAGTTTTAATCAGTAAGAAGCATACATTATTTCTTGAAAATTAACTCTTCTTATTAAAGAACTTTTAGGTATTATTTGTAATATTATTTCATGCATAATTGACAGGAACATACAATTATATATGTTCATTCAATACTTCCTTGTATTTTCTAAAATTACCTTTTAAAGTTGCCAAAATCTCTTCGTAATACATTTCAATGTAGCCAAATAACTGACAACTGACTACCAGACCATGTAAGACTGATGTTTACTACAACACATCACTAAAATTAAAAATGTATTAATTGATTTACAATTCAATTAATGTCCTGCATCATTTTTTAAAGTAACTTCAATTGTAAACTACCACACTTTTGTTTCTTAGATCATCAATGCTCTTTCTTAAAGAATCTTACATATTCACAAACGTTATCACTTAGATGCAACATTGCAGCTAATATGAAGTAGCCAAGACTAACTGGCACAGAGAAAAAAGTAGATACAAATTAAACTATATATTAAATATACAATAACGAGTATTCAAAAGGGAAAGAAAATTCACATACATCTCAAAAAGAGCAATCACACTTAATATACAGTCTTCTCAGAACTGTTCAAATTTTCTTCAACAAACAAAAACATCACCATTCTTCTGGAGCTTTTCACAGAAAGCTATATATTCCAATGTGTCAGAAGGACAAGTAGTCCCATGTTCACATTATGGAGTTTGCATTGTAAGATCTTGTTCAGTACGAAATCACTTAACTTGATCACCACATACTGTAATCAGCATCGTCCGTATCAAACGTCAGGAAGAAACCAACCAGAGTTGCATAAACCACCACATTACCAGCCAAGGTCAAGTAACAAGCACCCCATTCAACCTGAAAACAAATTAACTATTAATGAGATACAACTATTCTACAAATGTGCTAGAATGTCTGATAATGCCATTTCCTTTTCTCCCATTACTGCCTTTCTTTCCAAAAAAATTTCGTTTGAAATAACCTACAAGTGACATCACAAACACGATACATTACATTCCACAAGATTAAGCGATTTATACTCTAGACAATTTCCATTTAGGATATCATCCTAATGTTTTCCAGCAAGTTGAAATAGTCATTACCAGAAATAGCCTGTTGTTACCCAAGCATTTTTATCACCATTACATAACAGGAAACAATGATTTCTAGCTACTGTGTAAAATCAAGGTAATTTTATTGAAACCACATCTCTCTTAAAAACATTTGGCCTGCCTACCAAACCTACCACACTCCACCTTTCCTCCTCTGTCTTAATAGATTTTCAATTCTGACCATGAATTAATCAATGCAAAATTGTATTGTCAGAATGAATTGAAATTCACATGCACTGGTTTACTACTTCACATTCTTTAGATATTCGTGACAAACAGAAAGAGTGCTCTGTTAAATTCTGTGTTAAGGTTCAATGAAAACATCAATGACCAAAAATTTTAAAAACAATAGACTAGATTTTCCATTGTGTAAATAACTATATAAACTTATAAAAGTTCTGTTACTTTGAATTCACAAAAAGTTACTTCAATTTTATTAATATAGGTACCCAATAGGATACTTCCTCTTTCGGAGGGTGGAATTTGGATTTGCATCTTCACAACCTTATGCTAGCACTTGAATTATTCATGATGCAATCTACATCTCCGAAACTTTTCTCTTTCTGTGCTCATTCCTCACTCTAATGTAAGTTGTGAGTCTACCTTGTAAGTGTAAAATGTTCCCCAAATATACCAAAGGGATGACCAGCTAAGCGTTAACATAAACCTCAAGCAGATACATGAATATAATAATGATAATGAAGATTGATAAACAATGAAAACAGGAAAAAACTGAGAAATATGACATAGAATTGCTTTGTCCACTACAAAATGCACATGGGTTGACTGCAGTTGAAGATACAAACCACAGTTCCAAAGGTAAAATGCTTGCAAGCAACCCAATATATTGCCTTCACATCCAAAACCTCACTAGAGGTGAGGTCAAAATAGAATATTTCTGTAGGCAGCAGAGAGAGAAAAGTATGCGATGAGATTGAGCACAGCACAGATTGACAAAGACATGGAAAACTGTTTTGTAGGGAGAGGGGAGCAGAAGCAGAGGTTGCAAGACCAAGGTATGAGGAGATAGTTATGAGCACAAAAGAGGGAGAAAGCCTTAAATGGGCAAGAAGTGTAAGAAAAATTCTGGAGTCAAGATTTAATAAATTTTAAGTTTATGGTTGAACTAGGAATACCAGATCAACCAAGTAAGAAAAAAAAATTATGAAGAAAGGAAAATACATTTAGACTCCAGAGTGAGATGGTGGAAACACATTGGCTTAAAGAAAAGGGCAGATGAAGGGTAACTGAAGAAGTTCTCACATTGTAGCTTAGGTCATCCTTGTTCTGTGCAACTGTCTGAATGGAGCACATGGTTTTCTTCACTAGTGCACCTACCAGTCCAAAGAAAAACAACAGATGCTCCAACTAGAGGCAAAATTCGGAAAACCATTTGTTCTGACTTTTCCCAATTTTCCAGAAATATCATCATAAATGTTTCCTGATCACACGGAAATTAATTTAAATTAATTCAAAACACATTAGGGTTGCAAAGATTTAAATCACTGAATTTCATTTTCAGTGATTTACATCAATAATTTGAAAATACAACCGATTTAAATCAACTTCTTGCTTTTCATCAAAAGTGTCACGCTATGTCTTTATAACATCCTACCATCATTATAATTAATAAAATACACAAAACCATTCATTCTTGCCCTTATTTCCATTCGCACAAAATTTTTATAATCTATCCACATTTCATAAGTGAACTTTTCCAAAAATTTTCCCACTTCATCATCTCCTTACTGCATTAACTCTGACAGCTGTAAAAGAAAATCTTATTATTCTGATAAGGACACTTACATTGCAATATTTAAGGTATATTTTTGCACTAAAAGTAATAGGTTCATGACATTAAATAAGAAAAATTATATTGATCTGACCCGGTGGATAATGAGAATTCAGGGTAGCTCATGGGGTATCCCCATGAAAAATTCTGAGTGGGTAAAATATGCACTTGGAATTTGGGGCAAGAAAAATATTCCACAAACATTAAATTCCATAAACGGACAAAGTTTCTCAGTATTGCAGCGACTCAAAGATTAATGCGATCAATTATGTTGCATGATCAGCCCAACAGCATGGGGATTTTACATGTTAATAGTGACATGACCAAAAAAATTGATTTGTTAATTGAGTTTACATAAAAAATGCAAGGCTCAGCACTTTTTTTGCATTGCAAAAATTAACTGAAGTTACAGAAAATAAATGTGATAATTTAATTATAAACATGACAATTTGAAAAAATTCTGTTTTGTAATTTTCCCTTCACATACATTTTTGGTGGGAGATGAAGTGGGTATGGGACCTCCGCCTCCCTCACCGGTCAACTATCCACTTGGAATTAACATCAATTGCCAGCCCTGATATTGATGTTAATTCAAATCATAATGTACAGCTTCTTTTCTTATTCTTCCTTGTAATTGTTTACAAGCAAAATCAGTATATCGCTTCATAAAATTACAACCGACTCTTTTGAAACTATTTGATTTTTCTTAATGATATTTTATTAACTATTTGCATTTCTGTGGTCATATTGTTTCCCATCTTTTTTTTTGTCTACAGATTTGTCCAAAATAGCTGCTAGTTATGTAATTATTTACAAAACCTTTTTATACACTGTGTACCTTCCTTACTTCCTCATTCTTTCCATTCTCATCTTGACCATCCTCCACACTCTTCTTGATTACTTCCATTAGTTATTTTCTTTACTCATTTTCCCTCTTGTTTTTACTCTCAATTCACTTATCTAGCTTTTCATATTTGGTCTTAAGCCACCACACTTTGAGATTTTTCCTGAGTTTACTCAATTGCCAGGTGTATTCCAGGATCCTTGTCTTGCACCCCATCCGTTTTTACCTTTCTCGTACATAAAATAAGGATGACCAGACACCCCTCCCCCCTTATTTTGTGAATAGTTCATAGTTGAGACACTTTGGGGGATCGCATCACTTTTGAACCTAAATCAAGACAATTGATTTTAAAAAGTACTACTCTCCATATTACTAGAGGTTGCAAGAACAAATGACAATTTCTTTGGTAAGTCAAGGCCTGAGCAGTTCATTTCATGAAGAAAGAGGTACAACATTGCATTTAATTATGAAACGTAAAATGTGAGTTCCTATAATTTTCGCCAGAATATCATAAGTGTTCTTTGGCATTGTGTATTTCAATCCTTGGAAAATTTTATTTTAATCATGAATGTTATAAATGTATGAAAGTTATGAATATTATAAATTATCAAAAAGATTATGAAAAGTAATAAAAAGCAATAAAACAACAATTACTTATCATTGCAGCAAGAAGCTGTAAATAAGGGTCAAAACAATACCTGTAGAAGGAATAGGGGGATGCAGAATCCCAGGTGTTCTAGTGTTAAGACATAAAATGTGAAAACTGCAATATAACAGATAGAAGGCATTTGAAATAAGGGTGATTAACAAAAGTTGAGAACATCCAGATCCAACCAAGTCAGTAATTATTACTAATGGAATATGCTCATATAAAACCTATGAAAATTTGAAACGCATCATTTCAAGGATGTCAACTCAGAAATCACATATATGAATTTTACAATTAATTATTAGGGGGGAAAGTTCAGGGAAGACAAGGAATTGGAAGAAAGAGACTGTCTTGATTGGCTAACATCCACAATCGGACTGGTATCACTAATATTTTAGAGTTGGGGCAAGATTGCAAAAAATGTGGTTAAGATTGACAACCTACAGTAAAGGATAAGACACTTTCAGAAGAAGATAACAAGAAAAACAAAACTACAAAACACAAGTTCTCATAAATATTTGACAATTCAATATACATTCAAAGCACAATTTCTTATGACCTCTCAAGGAAGCATATGTTAATATGATTCAAAATTACAATACTCACCACGTTAGATCGTGCAAGGATGATAGGCAATCCAAACGAAGATACAACAAAGCCCATTGTAATGAATATAGCCAATTCATAAGGTCCAGTTCCATTGGAACCGACGTTTTCATTGTAACGTCTGGCAATTAGCGTTGGCAAGGGAGACAAAATATAGAACAATACAACAAAGAAAGGCCACCATATTCTGGAAGGTTAATAACATATAAGGAAAATACATCAACTCAAAAATTATTTTTAGTTCATTAAGTGTATCAATCAAAGTGTTCAATAAGTGTAGCACTTCATTCACTTACTTATACTGTGGTAATGCACACCCCAGTATCACCAAAGTCATTCCAATTGAGCCAGCAAAGGCAAGGGTGACCAGTCTGGAAAAAAAATATTCAAATTCATTTTTGTTAATTTACAGTTGTCTTAAAAAAAAACATCCATATGCAAAAAATCACTATCAAGCAATATAAGAATGTCAAAATCATTTACAGCACTCTCTATGCCTTCATAGATAACCAAATTTATTCACATTTATTTAAAAATTTACGATAGTATTTAGAAATAATAAAACAATACTTACGCTGTAATTTTGGTGATGGCCATGAAAACAAAAAGAATGAGTATTAATTTACAAATTGAAAGTCACAATATATTAAAAGTTTCAATAATTAAATCTAATATCAGACAACCATGTTCTCCGATATTGGATTTTTTCCAATTTTAATAAATAACATAAAAGTATTCAATAAAAATAACAATAATAACATAATACTGAATACACAAAACAAGAAATGCAATTTTTAATACACAACTCATGAAATAATATCAGGCACCTAAAGAGTAGAAGACTGAAGATTTCATCATTAACGGCTGACCACTCAATAATTACTGAAAGCATGGATCAAATCACTCCACTTTAATTGCTGTAAGCAAAATAACCCTTCATTTTTGTCTTGCTTTTTAGTATTATAACACTGTTTAAAGATACAAAAAAAAATACACTAAATTTAATAAAAGGTGAAAATCAACCACAACCACAGACTCCTTACATCACTTCAATATCCAGTTACATAAATAAATCAATAACACTTCAGAATTTTAAATTAACTATTGGTAGTAGGTAATGTTTACTTGTCCCAACTCATGTTAGTAATATCCAATAGTGTTTTTCAATAAACTTATATTAACTTAATATAAACAGTTCACATGTGTTGCCATGGTTTGCATACAAACACCGCAACTCCAGACATGGGAACAGGTAGAATTCTTATGGGCAATTGCTTCAACATCATTTAAACTACACAGATAGCATTATTTTTATTTTATTGCTTAATTAAGTGAATCCACGAACACCCATCAAACGTAACAAAACTACAATTTTAACTCTTGAAATGTTTTAAAGTTGGCATTCTAATAAACATACAACAAAACGGGAAAGTAGTTTAATATTCTACTGTATTGCGCACGTCACGCATACATTTTCCTACACAATAAGTGAAACATTCTTTACCTGTAAATTTGACATGTTATTCTCGTCATTTCTAAATTAATTTAGTGCATACTCTCGAAAGTGAACTGTCAAGCATCTCTTTACTTAACACAGATCAAAGGAAGAGAAATCGACACTTTCACGTTCTTTACATTCAGCAAAACTAGAATAAACTAGCAATTATCACATATCCAGATTCCTTTATTGCAAAATATCCTCCTTCAACATTCATAAATACAAAACAATATTCACCTTTAATTCCAGCCATCTCTAAAATCTTTTAAACAACTGACAGTCTACGAGCATGACATCACCTGTCACATGCACTTCGCTTTACGCACAGCCAATCTAAGGAAATGAAAGTTACCTAACAAGGAAAATATTCAATAAGCGTTTCAAATTTATTTACAATTGATGGTTACATGAAACGATGAACAGGCTTAGAGCAACATTAAAAGGTCATCCTAATTCACAAATCCTTTCAGTTTCCAGGACTGAATAGTACTTTCAGTTGCCACTTCTTTTTTTTCAGTGGCAATTGTTAATAATTTGCTTTGTTTATCGAATTAATGTTGTAATATTTTTCAAATGATTGATTCTGAAAAATTAATTTGGAACTAATTTAACATGTAATTTGAAGCATCATCAGAAAATCCAACTACTTTGGTTTTGGCTACCCTGCTTCCGCATTGTGCTGTGGTGGAGGCCGAAGATTGGTAGCTGGTTGATATTGGTTTTCAGAGAAGCAGTTCTTGGTTGATCATCATTTTGAGGAGAAAATAATGGCTGAAGGACGAAAGTAAGATTTATATCCAAAAATTGAGTTTAAATTCGTTAGTGGACTAACAGTTTTCATTTATGTGAACTAGTTTTCGCTTGGACAGAATTGAGTAGGTTACTCAGATGTGCTCAATTGTACGTTGTCATCGTGTCGCTACGCTTTTGTTCAAGATGCTTACAGTTACAATTTTCTATAAAATTAAATGTTTATTTGCAATTTGATTATTACGCGCATGTATTTTCACCTGCTGAACTTCTTGATCGTAGGCAGGTGCTTAATTGAAGCTTAATTTACGGGAAAAAGTGTGTTCATTAAAGATTGATAATGACCACTTGTTTATCAGGGTAGGGATGCGAATTTTTTTTGCTGTGCGAATATCAAGAATTTTATGCTCATACAATGCAAAATAAGGAAATTTACGCATTGAAATATTAAAACCTTTTCGGAGTAGGTTTATAGCTTTTAAACACCAATTTATTTAGGGTTAAAAACTTGGAATATAATTTTGCATCAATTTACAGCTTCCAATAAATTGTTCAATTAAAATTAATTTTTACCATTTACTTCTACATTGAGGATTTTTATGCCAGAATTGCCTATTCTGTATCTATAAATGTATCTTGACAAGTCATCTTCTGGTCATTGCACCATATTTAATGAACTTGCAAAGAAGACTTTTTAGCCATGTCATTGAAATATAATATTAAGAATCTGTGACCACTTCAGTTAGTGGGAAGGATGTGAATAAAAATGGTTCCAAAAAAAAAATTATTAGTAATTTATTATTAACTACTAGGAGGATATATATAGAGCCAGCTAATTTATCTAATATAAAGTTTAACATTATTGAAACATCAATTAATTATTCTTCTGTGCCTTTGATGTTAAAATTTATTTACTTTATTTTGTAGTCCTGATGATTTGGCAACAGCCATCTTGCGCAAGAAGGATCGACCCAACAGACTTCTTGTTGAAGAAGCTGTAAACGATGATAATTCTGTGGTTGCATTGTCGCAGGTAAATACAACTTTGATTATGATCAAGTTTTAAAATGTAAGATGAAATTTAATCATAAATTTCATTTATTTCTAGACAAAAATGGATGAACTCCAACTGTTCAGAGGAGATACTGTTCTTCTTAAAGGAAAAAGGAGGAAAGAAACTGTATGCATAGTGTTATCAGATGACACATGTCCTGATGAAAAAATAAGAATGAATCGTGTTGTACGCAACAATTTACGTGTCCGTTTGTCAGATGTTGTCTCTGTGCAACCTTGTCCTGATGTTAAATATGGAAAAAGGATACATGTACTTCCAATTGATGATACAGTAGAAGGTCTAACTGGGTATGCTAAACTTCCTTTACATTTATTTTATTTAAATATACATGTATAGATATTTCTTTTGTGTATAAACTTACTCAGACTAAAAACTCATTGTAGAAAGAAGCTAATTTTACCAAAATTACATTAACATTTTTTTCTCTAAATGTAAAGGGTCCGCGGAGAGAAATCTGGAAATTTTGAAACACAAACATTCCCAATTTGTTCATGAAGCCTGGGAGAGTTGTTTTTTATTTAGTGATTCCGGGCATAACTGCTAAGGTCATTAGTGAATTTTGTATCACAGGAGGTGGCGGTGATCATCCTCTGCTGGGTGGTGAGATTGGGCACTGACCTCGATCGCCTAGTGGGGTTTTCCCCTACAGGTATCGGGATAGTTGTTGGAAATAATATCTTATAAAAGAAAGTGTTATGTCAACTCTTCTGGAAACTCCTAACATGTATTACAAATGGTCAAAAACGTGCAAAATCTTCAAATCTTTGTAAAATTAAATTTAATATTTTTTCTGTGAATTTTTCTAACTTTTCCTTCTGTGCAATTTAATTGTGCAGTTGACCCTGGCCATTCAGTTATTTTTCAGTATGAAGTTATTTTGATTTCTAATGTGAGGAATATTCACACAGGTCTAACTAGAATCATTGTATTTCCTCTTTAACGGAGGAGGGGAAGGATGTCCTAAAGTCCTTCTGTGAGAAGGAAGGGCATTCTTTTCACAATGTACCCCAAGAAAATTCTTGATGTTTTGACTTGTGGAAATGGGTTTATGTTTTGTGGTGAGACAGTCACTATTTTAAAAAGGAAACAACCTTTTAGAAGATGGTGCATTGCAAGTCTGATTGCCATCTTATTGCCCCAATTTCATCAATCCTCATATTTGCATTTGCAAGAACTTTTGAGTTCGTAAAAGCAATTAGACTCCACTTAACTTTCCAAATGTTATTGAAGAAACAGAATGGTCATAATACTGCTCTCCAGTTACAGTGCATTTCTAAGTAAAATGACATTAATCATTTGTTCATTTAATTGAAGAGAAGACTTTGTGGTGGTGTTGGTTTTTCCTTTTTTTCTCTATTATTATTACTTGAAATGGCACACCCTTGTATATGGGGCTGTAAAACTGTTATCTCAAAAAAATGAAAATCCTGACTCCCTCGTTTTTCAGTGGGTCCTTCATGTGCAGGTTAGTTTTAACCCTTTAACTGCTACAGGCTGGCCGACTGTAAGTCACGTGTCTTGTGTTTTGCTTCTCACTGAGGCTCACTCTTTGTGAGCTGAGCTCGCTTGCATATAGCTATGAAGCAAGACATCTTGTTTATCAAACAGTCCTAACGATAGCCAAAATCAGAACAAGCAGACTCGTCCAGGGGCTCCCAAATCATTGTGGCTCCGCACTTGATCTTGTCTGGAGGCTCATAGTGACAACCTGACTGAGCGTGATAACTCTTCCAAAAGACTACAATGCACAGAAATACTTTCTATATCAACAGGTCTAGAGCTGTTGGGGTTAATGAAGTTGAAGTTTTGGTTCCATGTCACATGTATTTAGAATTTTATTTTTTTAAATAACTCCTTTGCCATTTTTCTTATTGAAATTGCAATTTTCTTTCAAAAATTGTCACCTGCAGTGCTGATGCAGCCATCTTCCTTAAGTGATCACCTAAGACCAATTTGTTCAATAGAACTCTTGGATTTTTCCATATTACATAGGTTTTCCCACTAGACTCTGTTAAGCAGTCACCTGGCCCCATTGTTATTGCCTAGGAATGTTTCATAGCTTCACCTGTATTAGACGTTGCAACTTCTGAACAAATTTGCAAGTTTGATCCAGAATGCCTATGGGAAGAAGAAGACTGTTGGACATTATTCGGGTTGATAATTCAGCAGTGATATCTAGGATTGCTTACTTCACAAGATGATTAAAACAGGTTCCACAGGTGTCTGAATTATTTGCAGATCAAGGAAATCTGAACTTTCAAAGCATTCAAACTGAAAAGTCATTAAAATGTTGTAATATGTCTATTATAACATGTTTGTCATGGAAAACTGCAGCAACCCTTCTTGTGTGTATGATAAGTTGTGTTTGTGATAAGACTTGGCAAAATTAAACATACTTGAGTCCTCTTCATTTGTTAGAAGTTAAAATGTGGTTTTTAACCCCATAGAACTAGGACGTATGAAAAACAAAGGGCCTATTTAATCTCTTTTTAGTCATTTTAAAATTACACTGATTGCTCCAATAAATACTAATTATAAAATTGTTGAAGCAAAGTTCTTTTATGTTTCAGGAATTTATTTGAGGTGTACTTAAAACCTTATTTTCTTGAAGCATACCGACCCATTCACAAAGATGATGCATTTATTGTTCGTGGTGGTATGCGAGCAGTGGAATTCAAAGTTGTGGAAACAGATCCATCACCATATTGCATTGTTGCTCCAGATACTGTTATTCACTGTGAGGGTGATCCAATAAAACGTGAAGTAAGTGTGTCTGTTTGCTAAAGGAACGTGTTCTGTATGGATTTAAAACAAATTTAATTTAACCCCCTTTTGTAATAGGAGGAAGAAGAAGCATTAAATGCTGTTGGTTATGATGACATTGGAGGTTGCCGAAAACAGTTAGCACAGATCAAGGAAATGGTAGAATTGCCGTTACGACATCCCAGTCTCTTCAAAGCTATTGGTGTTAAGCCACCAAGAGGAATATTATTGTATGGGCCCCCTGGAACTGGTAAAACTCTCATTGCTAGGGCTGTGGCCAATGAAACTGGTGCTTTCTTCTTTTTAATTAATGGTAAGACTTCTACAAAACAACTCACTCAGGTGAGAGAATACACAGCATGCATTCAGATGAGAGAATTTTTATGATTGTTTTTTTAGGTCCTGAAATAATGAGCAAGTTAGCTGGCGAGTCTGAAAGCAACTTGCGTAAGGCATTTGAAGAAGCTGATAAGAATGCTCCAGCAATTATATTTATTGATGAACTAGATGCAATTGCCCCTAAAAGAGAAAAAGTATGTCCTTTGCAATGCACATTTTTAATTGTTTATTTTTTTAAAAAATCATTAAATTGTTTTTAACATATGTGATTTGATTACTCTAATATGTCAAATTTAGACTCATGGAGAAGTGGAACGTCGCATAGTTTCACAGCTTCTAACTTTAATGGATGGTTTGAAGCAAAGTTCCCATGTTATTGTTATGGCTGCCACAAACAGGCCCAACTCCATTGATGGTGCCCTGCGCCGCTTTGGCAGATTTGATAGGGAAATTGATATTGGTATACCAGATGCCACTGGTCGCCTTGAAATTCTTCGTATCCACACTAAGAATATGAAATTAGCTGATGACGTTGATTTAGAACAGGTACAAAATATATTCCAATCATGATCTCTTCTAAGCAAGAAGTTTCAAATTATAAATCTAAAAATACCTTTTCAGATTGCTGCAGAAACTCACGGTCATGTTGGGGCAGATTTGGCCTCCTTGTGTTCAGAAGCTGCATTACAGCAAATTAGAGAAAAAATGGACCTCATTGATTTAGAAGATGATCAAATTGATGCAGAAGTTCTAAGTTCTCTTGCTGTGACAATGGATAATTTCAGGGTAAATAAAAAATATTTTTGTACTTGCATTTAGATAGATTTTTCAAAAATATAGATAATTAATTACTATGTGTGACCTTTAGTATGCAATGGGTAAGAGCAGTCCCAGTGCTCTCCGTGAGACAGTTGTGGAAGTGCCCAACATTACTTGGGAAGATATTGGTGGACTTGAGAATGTCAAACGTGAACTTCAAGAGCTTGTGCAGGTATGTGTGAATTTTATTTGTGTATTCAGAATTGGTATTTCTGTATAATTAACAAAATGTTGTTGATCAAAATTGTAAATATAACCATGTGTTGTCCATGACATGGTTTGATGTTGTTTCATGGGAGGGAGATTTTGTAAAAATAAAATGCTCTAAAAAATGAAATATAAATATCACAAGAAGTTGTGCATATATCTTTTAAGGATCTTAGTTTTATAATTCACCTGTTTGTTGCAGTATCCAGTTGAACATCCTGACAAGTTTTTGAAATTTGGAATGCAGCCATCTAGAGGAGTTTTGTTTTACGGTCCTCCTGGTTGTGGTAAAACTTTGCTGGCCAAGGCCATTGCCAATGAATGCCAGGCTAACTTCATCTCTGTAAAGGGCCCTGAATTATTGACTATGTGGTTTGGAGAATCTGAAGCAAATGTCAGAGATGTTTTTGATAAGGTATTGTTATCATTGTATTAATTTTTTGTTGTAATTTGCTTTTCTGGTTGGTGCTGTATTCATATTGTTTTCTATAGGCTCGAGCTGCAGCTCCGTGCGTTTTGTTCTTTGATGAACTTGATTCTATTGCAAAATCAAGAGGGGGCAATGTTGGTGATGCCGGAGGTGCTGCAGACAGAGTTATCAATCAAATTTTGACTGAAATGGATGGTATGGGAGCAAAGAAAAATGTCTTTATTATTGGTGCGACCAATCGTCCAGACATTATTGATCCTGCTATTCTTAGGCCAGGACGTCTTGACCAGTTAATTTACATTCCTCTGCCTGATGAGAAGTCAAGGGAGGCTATCTTTAGGGCTAATCTACGCAAATCACCTGTTGCAAAGGTCAGTTCTATCAGTGTATCCTCATAATTATAGTAATACACATGTCTTTATTTGTGACAAGACTTAAGAGCATAACGGCATGCATTTTTGTCTACACTAGAACTTAACATGAACTTAATTAAAATTACATTACATTTTATGGTTTCTATAATGAAAAAATTAACTTTTCAGGATGTAGATATGAACTACATTGCCAAGGTGACACATGGTTACTCTGGTGCAGATCTTACAGAAATTTGTCAACGAGCTTGTAAACTAGCAATTCGTCAGAGTATTGAAGCTGAAATTAGGCGAGAAAGAGAGAGAGCTAATAATCAGAATTTAGCTATGGATGTAAGTCAACTTGAAATGAATTTACATTAATTGAAATGTAATGTATTGTTTTGCAACTATCTTCCATTTGTTGATTTCCAGATGGATGAAGAGGATCCTGTCCCTGAAATAACACGTGCTCACTTTGAAGAAGCAATGAGATTTGCCCGAAGATCAGTATCTGACAATGACATTCGCAAATATGAGATGTTTGCTCAGACTTTGCAACAATCTCGGGGTTTTGGTACGAACTTCAGGTTTGTACACTCTTAATTACTGCTTTTTAATTTTCTTTTCAGAGTGTCTGCTACTGATAACTTCATTCTTTTTTTAAAAACCAAGGCTACCTACATCCCACCACTCCTCGCATTCCTGAATTCCTTACTACATATGAAGGTAAATTGTTGATGATTTCTAGGGAATTTTTTTCTAAAATTCCTTGTTCATCCTCCTTACACATCATTCAAATAAAAATGTTTGTTCATTATAGTAGTCAAAATCTCTTTCAGTATTTCTTCCCATGGATCTCCAAAATGTTTTGTATCAAGAATGAAACATGAAATTATATAATAGGGGACTTGTGAACTATAGTATTTGTGTACACAGTAAAACCTCAGTAAATTGAGCTAGTTGTTAAATATAATTTACTCTTACTAGAATATAAGACTACCCTCTTTTTGAAGAGAAATGTTGAACTAATTCTTAATATAGAGTCAAAGTTGTCGTGTTGAAAATTATCTTGAATGTTAAAATTTGGTATTCCATGAGCTACTGCAGTTTTCATGTTCCTTAAAATCACCTTAATTGTGACTTTTGGGACTACCATCCTTTCTTTTTGATCCTTCCCTCAACTACATCGTTTTCAGACTTTTTAGGCCACCCTGAAAGTTTTGGGCTCTGAATTTACATTAATCTTTTATCTAATAACATCTACGAACATTTCCTTCTGTGACACCATATTTTCTTCCTGCCATACTTTTGTTCAGCCTCTCGTTCTTTAATGGTTATTACACATTCTTAAATAATGGTTCTCTGGTTGTTAGTAGAATGCATACTTCTATCAATGTGATTTATTTTCTTTTCATGTCCATGTTGTAAATCGCACATTTGCCCTTGTGGGTTTCAAATCAGAGTTCTGCAGCCTCGTTGATCAGCACATTGTGTAATGAAATCTCAGCAAGGATTTTTATTCATTTTCACATTGAATTTCAGTATTACTTTCAAAACTTCTGGTTTGAATCATCAGCAAATTTGCACTGGGTGCCAACAATATTTCCGTGCATGTAATTATGCATTACAGGTGCATATGATATTTATTGTCTTTAAAGTTTTTTGTTCCATCTGCATTTGAGTTCCTTCTTGGCATGGAAAGACAGAGTAAATGTATAAATTCTAACAGGCTATGTTTAATCTGTGAATGACATGACCTCTTATTTTTCGAATTAGATATTTAGGGGGAAAACTCGTCTTATATTTTGGTAAACACAGTAATTGTAATTCTCTGTCTTATTTCCAATTGATTTTAAAACAATAGTTTTGTTGATTTTTATACACTGATTTATGGGGAAATGTCTGATTAATAATTTTTCGTGTCCTCTTAAATGCATTTTAAAGATAAATTAAGATTGCTTCTTAATAATGTGGTATTAAATAAAGTTTTTTATCTATTAAATCTTTTATATCAATTATGGAGGATTTATCTTGAAATTTTTCTTTCTTGATGTTCAATTTTTATTGTTGTAGTTGTGAAGGTTGTTGGCTTTTGGCAGCTTATTTCCAAGTCCATTTATCCACATCTATTAATGGCCAAAGTCCTCAAGCATTGTACAGAATGCCAGGAAAGTCTCTCCGCAGTGGCACCTTGCTGGCGAGAGTGCTTGCAGCTGAAATTATGTTGGTAGCAAGAGTTGCAGCTTGAAACAAAAGAAAACATAAATTGCATTTTCACTACAATCATAATTCATGCTGGAAACATTGTCCCTTAATTTGTTTCCCAGTGATATGGTTGCTACACCAACATTAATGCAATTTTTTAATAGGAGACCCTGATTTGGCTCTGTGCAGAGAGACTTTCCTGTCACTGTGTATTTTAATGTAAAATGAAACTAATTTTTTTAAAAAATTGAACTTAAACTCCTTAAAAAAACATAATTAAATCCTTTTTAGCTAGTATTTATGCATTCCACTTGTAATGTGGACCTAAAAATGTTAACTCCATTGGAGAATATTTTAATGTATTTTTTAATCAGTGGATGGTTGTTTTGTTATTATTCAGAGGTAAATGAAATATCCATATAGTTTGATACTTCAATAACATTTTCATCTCTTTTTCATGGCAGATTTCCTTCAGCGAATCCTGCAGCTGCCTCCCAAGGGGGTACAAGTGGAGATCAGGGTAATTTCCAAGATGACGGGGATGATGACCTGTATAGCTAAACATTGAACTGTCAAAGGCTGTGTTATAGTGAATTTCAAAACAGCGTTAATCACAGGTTGTAACACTGGCATGCTCTGTGTATCCATGAGTAACTTCACACAATGAAGACCAACCTTTAGTTTTTGAATTGAAGACTTGTGATACAGTTGAAAAATATACACTTCTGTGTATTTATTAAAATATTGTCTCCACTATTGGTTTCTGAATTCGCAGCTTAAAATGGTATGTGTGTGGCAAAAGAGTGCATGTGTGTATGTGTTTATTGTAACAGTACCTCCCTTATGGAATATAGGTGTACATGGAAAGTTCTTAGTTCTCAAATTTGTATTGCAGTTATTTACTTATGTAATTTAGTGGGTGATATTTGTGAAGTGATACTTTTAAACATGAATGTAAAACAGCTCTGCTTGTTACTGTTTTGTTCTGGAATAGTGGTTGGTCTTGTGGAAGCAGAGAAATTCCTGTAACGCACTACTTTAAAATAAATTTTGAAAAAATTCCAATTAGTTGTACTGAATCACAAATACCCATCACAAAACTTGTGTATATTCTTTTAGTGTTCTGGGTTATGCAAGCAAAATATTCTTCAAAAAGAAACTTCATATCTGTTATGGAGATGTGAAGACATGTTATGCATGACTTGTAAAAATAAAATTGATACAGGTTATAACAAAACTTAGCCAAAAAAAATGGTTGCCCATTCGCCTTTTTCCAGGATCTCCATTTCAAGTGTGACAAAGATTATTTCGTACAAATAATTGACAGGACAATAACTTCCTGGAACTGCATGTATTTCTCATGGGTTCTGAGAATCAATTATTTTTTGTCCTAATCAAAATATATGCAGAAACTAAAGATTTTTTTAACTTCTCCTACAGTAATGGCAAGTATCTTCCATGAATCATTTTGTAGGTTTAATATCCTGACAAAATTGATAAAATTTTCATTTGTATGTATCCTAGCAAAAGGAGTGATAATAGGTCTTCACCTTCAGATGGTTTCTTACCAAATTCTGCCATTACTATGTATCACTCTATGTACTCACAATTACTATGTGATGGTACAACTTAGAGAAATGATTATTAATGCTTAATTATTAGGCTTCATGATGTTGGGTAATATTGTCAGCATGATAAAAACTTTGTAAGAATTAACATTCTTAGATAAACTGCATTTTAAGTTCATTGATTACCGATTGGCAAAAAATTACGGTCCACAAATGTAAATTGCATGTGAGGTTATCTCAATAATGTAAAGGAGTAGTCATGAAGACAAAATTGGATTGAAAAGAGAAAAATCCATTTAAATGTAAGCAATGCTAGTTAGAATTGACCTCATTGCCTGATTTGGTTTGGGGGCAATAAAGTAATGTATGAGGATTATTTTCCTTCTGCTTGTTTGCAAATTTAGTACTCCAAATATGTTTTGTGCCTTAAGTCTTATAAGAAAAATGAAATTTTAAATATCAACAGCTGACGATTGTTTTATAACTTATTGCTGTATCAATCAGTTGAATCTCCAGTTAAGTTTGATCTGGTGTAGAGGTTAAATAGTATTTTTCTGTCAGAGCAAATCAGTAATAAATGCACTGATATGAAAAAACTTATAAACCATCTCAACCTAATTTTAGTGCTCTTTGAACAATGGCACGATGCGCTCCAGAATATTCCAAGACTTGCCAAAATACCCCCCTCCCCAAGACGCCGTCGCCGGAGTATCACGGAGTATGTCGTTATCGCCACAAATGAAACGGTCAAATTGTGCACGATCACGCCCGGAGTATAGCACACTATACCAGAGAGTATATTACTATATACTCTCTGGTATAGCACCTGAAGGAGCCCACCAAAGAGTTAAAGGAATCAGCGCTCTCTTCGTTCTGATTTCTCCAGAGGGCGCTGAAGGAACGGGAAACGTATTTTGCACAATCATGAAGTCTGTAAGGAGGGAAATAAATTGCAGTGTTGAAGCACGGCCGACTTCAAGTGGGAGTCGGCCATGGTGGGAGAACGAACGAAAAATGTCGGTAACAACCATATATGAATATTGTTCGACTTAAACACGGGGTCTGTTGAGCAGTCATCCAATTGGGAGTTCGAGTGACGTTTAAGCTTGATTGGAACTTCATCAGCTCTGTAACAGCTGATGAAACTCTCGCTGTTTCAGAGTATGGACAAGAGGATTCGCTAGCGTCGTTTCCATGTGGCGGCATTCGGATATATACTCTTTGGCGGTATCTATTTTAAGGTTCACGCGTAATTTCAAATGCAAAATTTGCTTGTCAGGATTCCTTACTAAGGAAGCAGTGCGAGCTTTCGAAACTTATGCCATTCATTTCTTACCGGTGAAGAGGCTATTGCACATTGCAACATATTTCGTTTGCGAGCCTGGTGGTGTGCTTTGTCATCTAGTGGCGAAATGTTGAGAGCCAGGATTCGCCAACGCTGTTTGGCAGGATAAAGAGGAGTTTCCTCACGTCTCCCTTTGGACCGGGAAGGTGAGTGACACATTTTGCGTTATGATAACGAATTGCGGTAAGTGAGTGGGAAATAAATTACTGCCTGTTGCAATTGAATGTTTTATCAAATTAATTTTAAAAAATTACATTTGCCAGCCATACGGCCCAATTGAAACAAGAAATTAATTTATTATTAAATTTATTGGGTTTAGTTCGTAACCTGAATCATTTCCATCTAGTAGCTTCTCTCGTGGCTCAATGGCGAAGTCACTTGCCTTTCGCCACTGAGGTTCCGGGTTTGATTCCCGTAGCATCTCCCGAGAGCCTCATGTGAAATTTGTTACGCAAAACGAGTTTGCATGCTTCACAGGGGCCAGTCCAACCACTGTGGAGTGCCCTAAACTCTACCCCAATCCTAATTCCTTCCGAATTCTGTCCGCTAAGTAGTGACGCAGGGGCGCGTATGCTACTTGGCGGTCCTCTTGAAAACTGACCGCGACGAGACGTGACAGTTATGTCATTGACGCATTACTCTCGCACTGCTGTTAATGGAGGATTACTCCATAAAAAGCGCAAAGCGGTCAGCGCCCCCTGGGGCTTGGAGACGCAACAAACCTTAGTTTTATAAAAGTAATGCGCAAAAGTGTGACATCCGTAATATACTAGGCCTGAAAATTTGGGTGTATTGTTTTTTCAAATATATGTTTTCATTACAGCTGCCAAAGTGGCTCCGGTTCTGCGAGCTGAAGTGTCAAATCCGGTCAGCTGGAGAAGTCAGGGAAGAGGAGAACTGAATTGCATGAAAATACCCTTGAGTAAGACAATTTCGAGGAGCACCATTGATGCCTAAATAAATAGGCAAAGCAATTGTAGTATTCTTTTGTATAAAAGTTTCTTTTATACAAAAATTGTCACTAACTTTCTACAAATTATGTGTTTTCATTTGCGGTCCTTATTGAAATTAGCCTACAAATCTTGCCTGTTTATTACTCCTTCAATTGTATGATCTGACTGAAAATGTGATGAATTAGAAAAGATAACATGTTTTGAACTAACAAATTATGTTCGTATATACTTGGCGGTCTGGGTGACGCCGCGTCCATGGCGAAGGTGCCGACGTTTCGGTCGCCATTCTGCGACCTTCCTCAGGGCGTAATAGTTTCGTTTATCGAACATTTCTAGTTATCAAATTTTGACTACAACGCTCGTTTCCTCATTTATTCTTCATTCAACCAATGTTGGCAAAGGAGTGGGCGTAGATATTCCGAGGATCAAACAAACGTGCGCGTGTAATACCTGTGTTGTATGGCTATATATTATGTAACATTGTTTTCAGGATATATTTTATGAATACTATAAACAAAAGCGTTTTTTTATACTTCCTAACCGATTCACCCCAACCCCTATTATTTTGTTATTTTTAAATGGGAGCAAAGTGAGAATACGTGGTATGGAGGTTAATATCTATATTGGATGTCCGTAGATCGAGTACCGTGCCCCTGAGCCAGCAGCTTCTACACTCAACGCTGGTCACAGTGCAGTGTTGTCAATTTAACTCCTGTACCTTATTGTAGATAGTGTCACACGAGTTTCCCCTCCTATTCTATATTCTTCCTTCATGGTCCCTGTACTTTCAGCGCTCTTGGAGGCTCGCCGAACTAGTGGCCGCCATGTTTTTTGAAGTCAAAACACGAGTGGCGGTGTATTCAACTGCTATACTGAATTGACATTGTGGCGTTGTTCGTATCACAACTTAATTATTTATTGTTTTTCGTTTAACGGTGTTGCAATAATATTAATTTTCAGGCTTTGTGCTAACTACAACATTTCAATTCTTATGACAATCGATGTAGGAAGTATGGTTGGTAGAAGTAGGAAGGATGTAGGATGTATTTAAAGGTTCTCAATGCGTTCTCCTTACATATTGTTATTCCGTTTATCAATGATGGTTTTTGATCGCGAAAACACACAATAAGATAATTTATATTACGCGACCCGCGCCCATCCGTCCGTAACTAGCGCCAAACGTAATGCTAGAATTCTTTGTGTCCCAGAGGGCGCTGCTTTAACTGCACAAAACATGGCTTCAAAGATGGGGCGCTTCAGCCACTCTATGTAGTATATTCTAGCTCGTTGGTCGAATGACACTAAATAAATCATGTCTGGCTCACTAGCTTCAGTGCCATGCAGTGAATGTAGCAACGTATCTCGGCTTTTTTCGCCAATAGAGATGTCCAGAACACGTGACGTCTAGTAGTTTGGGGGACAGCACCGTCGCGATACGATAAAACACGGCATAAGTGCGGGCTTTCTTTTAAAACATCGGGATCATTCTTCGTCGGAGGTTTTCCTCTGCCTATAATGCTTTAAAAACATTGTTTTATTTAGGTACACTTTCTCTCAGTGATATGTTCTTTTCTCTGAAGTAAAGATGTATATTTACGATAACTAAGTTGTGTCTGGTAGTGGAGGGGGGCAAAAGCGGCCAGGAGAGATAAAAAGTTTAAGCTTTTTTTTAGATGTCCTACTGTTCCCCAAAGTCAGGAATGTAAAATTATAGCACCATCGGAACAAAGAGGGTAAAAGTAGTTTTCTACTATGAAGCAAGTCATCGTAATACTTACGACACCAAAGCAACTTTTTTCTGCCACCAAATCCATCAAGTCGTGTCCCAATTGTATTGCAAGAATTGTCATCAAATATTTATTAAAAGATATTGAAAATACGCAATGGAAGCATGTTACTAAACCGCATAGTCTCACAAGCTGCACAAAATGGCTACAGTAATTGTTCTTGAGCTTGCATTGCATTCCAAAATCATTTGACAATAGAACGATCGTCAGATTTCTGAATCATTGACCTCATTACATCAAATGCATCATTGATTAACTTTTTAAAATTAGATATTTCTTGTTCATGAAGTATGAGGTAAGATATTTCTTGCGCAACATGATTTTACAGCAGTTGGCATGCAAGATTAACTTTTCGACGATCCCTCCCAAACACATTGATAAGAGCAGGTGGCAATTTTACGCATAATTCTATTTCCCCGCGGGCTTTAAACTAACTACAATAATATTTCAATAGCTTCCATTTGTATGGCAATAGCCCATGCAGGAAGCAACGTCTCTCAATTCTTTTTCCTAATATATTGTCTTTCCGCTTTTAAATTACTGTTTTTTTAGTGGGACGCAGAGAAAGAGCATTTATTGTAACATTGCGAAACGAACCTCGTTGGCAAGAAATCTAGGGCCGTGGTGGCGCGCGGGCAGGATTAGACAGGTCCAAACGCCAGGGGGTGAGTAGAGAGAGATTGAATAGAAAAGAGCCGGGGCGCAAGCGCCCCGAGGTAATCTGGTAACTTGCAAGAATCCATGAGGAGTGGTGCCCAAAACTGCATGGCAGCGCGGTGCTCACGTGGTGGGAGTCGCCACGCGAACACAAGATGGCGTCCTATCTCACGCGGGTGGAAGGTGTATTAAGCCACCATCAAGACGCGGGGATGGTTTTTTGGGTATGTCGGTCCTGAAATTAGGTCGCCCGCCACAGTCAGTGGCTTGTTGGGATCTCCTTTTCCTAGGATGTCTATTTCATCTACAATGTGGAATGTTAGATGTGGCGTCCAGATTGTAATATATACAGGTTATTGTGCAGATCTTTGTGTCGATCGTTTGACTGTGCTCACAGGAGAATATTACACGGAACGGTGAAGATTTGTTTCAAGAGACAAGTGATGCTCCCTTTGGGTCGTCCTTTTCCTTGGGTGGAAAAATGTGAATTGTACACAATACGTGTTCAAAAGTATCCGGACACGTCCAAAATGGTGTTATGGTGGGGTCATGTTTTTCATAGAGGGAGCTTGTACCCCTTTTTGTTTTGTGTTGCACTATCACGGTACAGGCCTACGTTGATGTTTGAAACGCCTTCTTTATTCTCACTGTTGATCCATTTGTGGATGGCGATTGCATCTTTCAACACGATTCAACACGACCGAACACGATCGAACTTTCTGCACGTGGCTTACACGACAATAACATCGCTGTAATGGACTGGCATGCACAGAGTCGTGACTTATTTCCTATCAAACATCTTTGGAATGTTTTGGAACGCCGACTTCGTGGCAGGCCTCAGCGACATACATCGATACCTCTCCTCAATGCAGCACACCGTAAAGAATGGGTTGCCATTCCTCAAGAAACCTTCCAGAACCTTATTGAAAGTATGCCTGCGAGAGTGAAAGCTGTCATCAAGGCTAAGGTTGGGCGAACATCCTATTGAATTTCTGCATTACCGATGGAGGGCGCCACGAACTAATAAGTCACTTTCAGCCACGTGTACAGACACTTTTGATCACCTGGTGTACATGTTCCCCTCGGACCATTCTCTTGTTATCATTGTTTCTACAAGACATAGCATGTCGTATTCCTGGAAGAAGCCGTATCTTGTATACGCTGGGCAGGGCTGATTCACATATGGGCCGCTCTGCAGCATTTGATTGCTTGTTTTGAACTTAGTTTACTGCTGACAGGCGAAACCTTTCTCTCTGTTTCCTAGCGAGGCGAAAGGATCGTATCACGATACCGTCCAGCCAGAGATTAGGGGCTTGTGTCCTTTGCAGGGCATTTAGTTGTACTACCAGTTTCAAGGATATATTTCTCTCTTTCACCAGTAGTTCTTCACATTCTACCTCTTCTGAAATCTCATTATCATGTAATAACTGGACGACTTCTTCAGGAGTCGTGCTGCTATTCTGTTTCCCTAGGTACATCTATGCCTTATGTGGCGCTGCTTGTGAGATGCAATTTTCCATTCTCGTGCCTATATTTCGTTTCATACTTTTTGCTTTCCCGGATACGTACGTATATACGGACTAATATATGTAGTATAGGGTACGTTATGTAATTCTGAAAACTCGTTTTCGATATTTCAACGGAAATACACCTTTTGGGATCCCCTGATACCAAAAGTATTTTCAAAACTTTTGGATGGGATTGTGCTAAATGTTCTCTATAAGATGACATAAACACCATATTGCTCTTTTCTTCTGTTGTTTAAAAAGTTACAAAAGTGTTTTTTTTTTCACTTTATCACGTTGTATATATTTATATTAGCGGCAATTTGTTCACATTATTATTTTTTGAGTATATGTGCTTTAAATAGTCTCATAAAAAGTTTCTCGAAAACTCAACTTTTTATGTCAAAACTAGATGAAAATTTCGCATTTTCAGAATCGCTCAAATGCCATTTTCTCAAAAATGGCTGAAAACTTTTGCTTCATACTCTTCGAAAGGTAGTGCTAATTGCACTCTATAATATGACGTAAAGTTTATTTCGGTGTATTGTATTGTTTTTTCAAAAATTACAGAAATGTAATTTTTTGAAGATCTTTCACACTGTCAGTATGCACTTTTCCAGCAGTTTGTAAATACTATTGTATTTATGAGTTAAAGTCCTTCAAACGACATTAAATAAATTTTTCGAAAACTCAAAAATTTTCTGTGAAATAGTGCTTCAAATGTCGAATGTTGTGTAGCGCTTAAGCGCCATTTTCTAAAACACGGTTACATAATGAACATTCTTTCAATTCATATTTTTGAATTAAATTGACTCATGAAAATCAAAGTTAATCTATGGTTTTGCCTAAATTATCCGTGAAGAATATAGTTTTATTTTTGCATTGAATTTTCTATTATTGGAATATACATTAAAATATGATTAGTATGAATTCGAGTATTTTATGTACATAAAAAATTACTGCGTAATTTTAAAATATTAAGAACTAATATCTGATTTTTAGGCGCAGTTACTCATCGCTACGAGTCTCCAATTTCACGAGGTGACTGACATACAAAAAATGACGAATAACATTATGATAAACATCCAAAGTGTTTTGCAACCCAGTCGAAGTTAATGACGACTTCTGGCAACTTTTGAATAAAAATTCTTGAACCTGTCCAATGCATTATTTTCTAAATATTTTATGCCCTAATACTTTATATAAAATGCGTCATTTGAAGTATCTTTTGAATCAATTCGCTCCATTCACATTTGAACCTCGAAGTCAAGTCGCTATAATAATGATGAGAGCCATCTTATTTTAAATGCACATCGCAGATTTAATTTATTTCTATGAGGGAATACAAAGATTTCAATTCGTCCGTGTTATATAAATTCCAATTATTTTGTCACTCAACGATCCAAACACGAAAAGTGTTTTTTTTTTACTACCAACGACTCACTATCTAACATGATTCTTCAGTAATTGATTGAAAGTACTAACATTAATTGCAAGTATGTATTGGGAAGTTTCGCGTTTCTTTGACCATCATTAATTATAAATTATCATACTTAAATTAAATTACATGGAAGAAATATTTGTCTACTTCATGTATAATTTTTGCTTGTTGATAGCATTGAAGAGAACGTACTTCCGGTCAGCAAAGCAAACAAGCTCCTCTGCCAGTCGCTCTCTCAGCCAAAGAGTATATTACTCTGCGCTCTCAGCGCTCTCTGCTGAGTCGTATATACTCTCTGGAGTCGTCCACCCTATCTTCTTCTTCGCTCTCCTTGTCGACATCCGCCTTCCTTCATTTCTATTTGAGGGAGCCATCGTGCCACAAGCGGTTGCGGCCGTACATTGTGGTGTCTGTGTGAATCGGTGGGCATCGACTGCTAGAAGGCCGGATTTGTTGGTGATTAAGCCGTTAACATACAATCATGCCTCCCAAATTCGATCCAAACGAAATTAAAGTCGGTAAGTGTTCGAGAAGTGTTTTATTTTTATGTTTGATTCTCTTCAACTATCTCATGCTTTTGGTAACTTTTTAGTGTACTTGAGGTGTGTTGGTGGAGAAGTTGGAGCTACTTCATCTCTCGCCCCCAAAATCGGTCCTCTTGGTCTGGTAAGTTATTACATTCTCTGCTTTTAAATAAATCTTAAATCTATCCTTATGGCCCCGAAACACGTGTCACGTAGTGAACCCTCTTGAACACGCGGTCGGAGTGCTTGTAAAATTTATTTTCTGATCGGGATTTTAAATGCTTTTGTTAACGTAGCTTATTTTTCCTCCAAATATTTTATTATCGGGTTGTGACAATTGAAGTTATTTATAACTGCAAGGAAGGGTATTTTGAAAAGGTTACTATTTGGTATTAGGGTATCCACTTCAAGCGTTTTGTATTAATTTTTGTCCATCTCAAGCCTTACGCTGTTACATTTTAACGAAATAATGTAAGAAACCGCTCTGTTGAAATTTAACGCAGAATAGATTTGCTATTAGCGCATAAGATACTCAAGATTAAATGAAATTTATTCTACTTTATTTATTTTCATTGTGCTGCAAGCAATTGAGAAATTTTGTAATGTTGCAATTCTTATGTTTGTATTGTAACTTTTTACGATTTCTTTCATTAAATGTAAATAAGACCTAGAATTTCTAACAACCATTTCTACAGATAAGTTTCATAGTAATTAAATTTTATTTAAACTATTACTGGAACGATCTAGAAGCTGGAAGAAATTTGTCAAGTTCTGGTTATTGACAGGTTTCAACATAATTTGTTGGAACGCAATGTAAATTGGATGTATTGCAAGTAGCCTTAACACTGACAATTACAATTCAACAAAGTTTGCACCGTTTGTCAGTTTGTATAAGCAAAACAGACTTGATTACTACCGGAAGGAAAAGTTTGTTTTTAATGAAAATCCAGTTTTGGGGTTGAGTAGTCTGTGCTGCGATGATAAACCTCAGCTCTCTGAGATATACATGACGGGAGCTTGTTTCAAGTATCTGAGCCCACTAGACCAGCGTCGATAATTTGTAGCTTCCCATTTGCTACCACTCTGGGATAGAATTGAATGAGGACCTCTGAGAGACTTCATGTAACTCTTTCTTTGCTGCTATTCCGTCAATGATTCTCTAATCTTCTCAATATCCTTATGGACCATCCTTCTCAATGCGTCCTTTGGTCATCCTGTTACTTCTTGTCTGTCCTGTCTTTGTCTTTCTCTTAGGCTTTTCCCTATTTGTGTTTAAAGCGAGAGCGTGTTTAAAGAAATCTGAGATCATAAGAAAACCTTTATATTTTGGTACTCTTATAAAATTTCTGTCAATTCTTGATGACCATTCCACACAAAAATGGTTATTGGGCGTCAAGTTGGGACTTGCCCTGATTTTGTTTTCTTGAAGAGTAGCTGTCTTTGTGCAATGATGATTTTTTATCCCAGCTCTCTGAGAGATAAGTGACGAGAGCTTGTTCAAAAACAATCTGAGTTCCCAAGACAGTGGTGACATTTTTGGTACTCTTACTAATTTCTGTTTTGAATGAGCAGTGTCAAATCCAAAAGAAAATGGTCACGGGGTGTCAAGATAAAACTTGTCCTGATGTTTCCTTGAATAGTAACTGGCTTGTGTGAAGGAATTTCCTACAATTAGTGTACAACAAATAAGGTACAGTAATGGTCTGAACTTCAATACAATGTAAAAAAAAAGGCTTAAGAAAGACTATGCAAACAATGTATTTAATGCTAATTTGATACACCTGTAGGTTTTGTAAAAAGTTGTTTCAAATTTAATTGTTTTCAGGAAGATTTGAGAAACTTATTCTGTTCTAGTTTTTGATTTGAGACTATTACTGTTTTAAAATATAATGCAGAATAGATTTGCTACTAATGCAGAAAATACAAAAGATTTACCTAAATAATATTGTTTGTGCATTCTACTTTTATTTTCATTTTGCTGCAAGCGAATTTAAAATTTTGTAATGTTGTAGTTCTCATGTTTCTATTGTAACTTTTTAAGATTTTTCATTAAATGAAAATCAAAATAAGACCTAGAATTTCTAAAACCCATTTCTACAAATTTCTGCAGTTAAGTTCCATTGTAATTAAATTTTATTTAAACTATTACTGGAATGATCTAGTAGCTGGAAGAAATCCTCCATATCCTGATGGACCATCCTTCTCAAGGTGTCCTTTGGTCATCCTGTTGCTTCTTGCCTGTCCTGTTGTCTTGGTCTATCTTTCTCTTCTACTCTTCCCAATTTCTGTATTTTATGATCAGTGTCAATTCCAGAAGAGAATGGTCATGAGATATGTTGTGATATTTTTCTTGAAGAGTAGCGGTCTTTGTGCAATGATTTATATCCCAGCACTCTGACACACGAGAGACATGTGATGAGAGCTTGTTTAAATAATCTGAATTCATCGTATGACAACCTTTATATTTTGGTACTCTTACAAATTTCTGTGTGTCAATTCATGATGTCCATACCACACAAAAATGGTTATTGGGTGTCAAGTTGGGACTTGCCCTGATTTTGTTTTCTTGAAGAGTAAGTCTTTGTGCAATGATGATTTTTTATCCCAGCTCTCTGAGAGATAAGTGACGAGAGCTTGTTCAAAAACAATCTGAGTTCAAAAGACAAAGTTCGTGACATTGCTTATCTGTACAATTTCTGTATTGTATGAGCAGTGTCAATTTCTGAAGAGAATGGTAAAGGGACATTAAGTTGGAACTTGCACTGATTTCTTGTTTTCTTGAAGAGTAGCTGTCTTTGTGCAATGATGATTTATATCCCAGCTCTCTGATAGATAAGTGACGAGAGTTTGTTCAAAAACAATCTGAGTTCACAGGACAAAGTTGATAATTTTCTATTCAATTATATGAGCAGTGTCAATTCCACAAGAGAATGGTCGTGGGGTGTAAAATTGAAAGATGGCTTGGTTTTGTTAGCTTTCTCAAGAAGCATATAAAACATATCCTCTCGTTTAGCTTTCACTGCTTCAAGCAGTAGTTTTAAAGTACTCACATAAGCTTACTTAATCGTACTCACTTAATCTAAAAAAACTCCATGTGCAAAATCTTAATCCTCCCTTCAGAAATGTTCCTAATTAAAAATGTTAAGTACTTTAAGCTTATTGAATTTTGTAACCCTATTCCTTTTCACTATCTTCACACTGAGTTGAATCAATTAGTAGGATAATGCACTGCTTGTAAAATACTAAGAGTATATTAAGAGAAAGTATTTTTATAATCGAGAATGGAAAAACATGAAGGACAGTATTTGTAACTGCAGCAAGTTCCAACAGGAATTGAACAAATAGTTCAATCCCTTCCTGAGACTTGCCAGAGCAATGATAATATTGAGGGGTTCCAGCATGGTTGTTGGAAGTTTCTAGGTTGTTATCGAACAGTGAAATTTGTAAAGGACAACTTTTACTTGCCTTCATGTAGAGTAACCCAGCCCATATGGGGGTTTAGTGAATCAAAGCCTCTATCGATGAAATTAGAGATAAATCAGAAAAAAATTAAGTGGTATTTTTTTTATGCAGGTTCAGAATCGTGTACATTAAGGCTGATACGAGAAATATGTTGTAGGTAAAGGAAAAACCGTTTTTAGATAGAGCAAGATGCAACAGGAGTTGGATAAAACATTCAATCCCTTACAAACCCTTGCTAGAGTAATGATGATATTGAGAAGTTCCAACATGGTTGTTGGAAGTTTATAGGTTATTATCGAACACTGAAATTATTGAAAGTGCTATGTCTTAGCTTCTTCTTATGAAGAGATTAAGTGGTCTTAAAGCCTGTAGTCATGAAATTGGGGTAAAATACAGAAAAATTATTAGTAGTAATTATGTGTAGGTAATGGAAAAATTATGGGAGGAGTTTTTAATTAGAGCAAGATGCAACGGGAATTAAATAAAATGTTTGATGCCTTACAAAACCTTGCCAGAGTAATGATGATATTGAGAGATTCCAACATGGTTGTTGGAAGTTTCTATGTTATTGTCGAACACTGAAATTATTAAATGACCCAAGTGTTAACTTATCTCCATATGAAGAGAATAATACATCTGGAAGCCTGTAGTCGTGAAATATAAAATACAGAAAAACAATAAGTGGTTATGGTTTATGTAAGCACAGCACTTGTGCAAGAGGTGTTAAGTGCCATCTGTCAGTGTCTGGTAATGGTTAAAATATTATGGTAAAAGTTTTAATCTAAAATTACCCTCCTTTGTATGCAAATTATCACTTTAGTGTGTTAGTCCCACACATGCGAACAAATTTTGCATTGCTGGCAGTTCTAGGGAAGAATCAACAATTTAAGTCATCCGCAAACATACGTTTAGATATTTTTCTTATCAATGTTAATTCTTAATTTATCAGACAGTATTCACAGAACGTCTTGTAATAAACACATGATCGTCTTGCCTTGTTTCAGTGTGAATTCTCAACCGTCAAGATTTTCGTTTTTGCTTGGCCTAATACATATATTTTCTCTAGTAATAAGATTTATTGGTCATCTACTCTTATTGCTTTCAATGCATGAAATATATTAACTTCCCTAGTAAGTTCAATAGATCTGTGGTTCTTATGGGAACCTTCCTGTCAGCCAATTCAATGTGTAATTTCTTGTTAATTCATTGTTATGTTTTGTAATACAATACACAGTGCACTTTCCCTCCTGCATTTATTTTTTGTTTTGCATGCTGCAAACTATCCACATGTCCCGTCTACCTTATTTGTTAGTAGCCAACCAATATATGTGATCCAATAAAATACAGGTAAATGTAATAAACGGGTCTTAAAAGATTTTAAAAAATTGGTGATTTCAAAATGTATTCTATTGATAACTTGGACAAACTGATTTCAAGTACTCTACCTTGAACAAATTTTGTGGCTAATTTTGCCAAATTTCTAAAACTTGAACTTATTGGAGACCCTCATTTCAAGCATTTGACTCTGTATTACAGATAGTGATTGTGCTTTTTTTGTTTGTTTTTAGTCGCCGAAGAAAGTTGGTGATGATATTGCCAAAGCAACATCAGACTGGAAGGGCCTTAAAATTACTGTCAAATTGACCATCCAGAACAGACAAGCTGCAATTTCAGTGTGTCCTTCTGCTGCTTCTTTGATCATTAAAGCCTTAAAAGAACCTCCACGTGATAGGAAGAAGCAGAAAAATAGTAAGTATTTTGGAAGTTCGAAAACAAAGGTTCATGAACAATGAATAAGTCTTGTTTGGTTGGTATATTGCATGATAATTTGTTTCAATTATTAGGAACTTAAAATAGCTGGTTTTAGTTTAATAATGCCTGAATAAAAATAAATTAAAACTTCTAATTTATGTGAAACAGCCTTATTTACAACTAAAGCATAGTATTTTCTTTATTTTTATTGCAACTTTTAGTAGGTTGGTTGATATGAGGGCTCTTGTGCATAGCAGAAGTCAAAAATTACATAACCCTTAAAAAAGGGGAGGAGAGGTTCAGGCATGTTACACTGCAACCGTAGGGGTAGGGGGTACTAGCTTTGTGACTAACTTCTTTTTTGGGAATGTGTATAGAAATAATCCTTAACCCAATCCTGAAGGAAGACGAACATTCAAATAAAAAAAGCAACTAATTGTTGAATTTATATTACAAAGCATCTATTCGAAACCGACTATAGGGTGTACAAGAATCCAATTGCATTAGTATTCCCACCCATGCATCATATACCACAGTCTCTGCCTGGCTGTGGCAAACAAATTTTGCCAATGCATCCCTTGCTTGCTCATATTGTTATAAATGCAAAACTAATATTTTTTAATGTTATATATCTTAATTTTTACTTTTAATAATAGGGAATTCAAGCTTGCATTATTGGTATATTACAGGGAGATTGTATCTAAAATAATAAAATTTCCATTTAGATAATTTATCGACAGCCTATCATCCTATCTGTAGTTGAAGTATAAGACAGCACTCATTCAAATTTGGGTAGCCATTAGTGGACGTAGAAATGGTCTTTGATGGTATTAGCTGTCCAAATTATTTTAAATAAAAGAAATGGAGAACCTTTTACTGGTATCTTCTTTTTGCTGTTAGACATTGCCTTAAAACTAGAAATAATGTTTCACATGCCATGGTTTATTTTACTTTGTATTGCCAAACAGGAAAATGGTAAGGTTACAAGAGCAAAAGAACCCATCTCGAAGGAAATTCTTTTAGTAGTATTAGGTAATATTAAGTTGTTAGTGTCCCAAGATGACTGAAGTTTATTTAATTGCAAGGGTTTATTTTAACAATTTCTCATGAAAATGTAGCGAGATAAAAAGTAGGATTGTCATAAATACAGTAGTGAAGGGATTATATTTTGCTCCCGTAATACTTCATGAAAAAATACTAATTTTATTTCTTTTGAGTTTTGTAATTTTTGGTGCTGTGCATCAATGTTATGCTTGCCTACTATGAGATAATTTCCTTTAGTGCTAGTCTTCATATATGTACTTTGTTTTCTAGTTAAACACAGTGGCAATCTTTCTTTTGATGACATCCTTGCAATTGCTAAAACAATGAGAGATAGATCTATGTCCAAGAAAATGGAAGGAACTGTTAAAGAAATTTTAGGAACAGCCCAAGTAAGTAATAATGTAGGTTGAATTTTAGAATGAGATTCAGTTGATATACTACGGCTAGTATACTTAATGTACTATTTTAATTTACAGTCTGTAGGCTGCACTGTGGAAGGGAAACCACCTCATGATGTTATAGAGCAGATAGACAATGGAGAGGTTGAAGTTCCTGAAGAGTGAATTATTTTAAGTAAGTATGCTATTGAGTGAAGATTTTTAGAATTATTAAAAAAATCTTCACCCAATAGCTGGGTAGGGGTTGGCATCCCATCCCCCCTCTTGTTTCATGGAAAATGTGAACTTCAGATTCATGTACAAGGGGGCACAATAGCCACTGAGGAGATAACCTCAATAAAAAATCATGAGATTTTTAGACATCAGTTGTATTGTATTCAATGCTATTGTATTCTCATTTTCTACTTTCCAGGTTCATCAAATAAATTGATATAAAAAGTTTAACTTATTTTTTTCTTGTTGCCTGTGTGTGTGTGTGAGTGAGGGGGTTTGTATACATTTTTACCAATAGTACTATTCGTGTTAGTAGACTTACAGCCAGATTTATAGTCAAAACTTGCACAAGATTTGGGCCCTTATCACAGTTTTGTATTTAGACTCCATTATTTGAGTCATACTCTGGCAATATTTCGCTATATAGTGGACAACATTGCTTTATTGGTTACTAGTACTACTACTTGGTTACATCTTGAAGGCCGTGTCAATCTGGTTTACAATTTTGGCATTTCTTTTAGGCATATGAATGCCATTGATTTCATAGATGTGTCAACTGAAAAGAAATAATAAATTTCATTGCTGTGAAGTGTTCAGTCGTGTGGAGAAAATTCCTTTAGATTGAAGTTTTTCAATTAGGCATGACTAGCAACAATTATGAAGGTACAATATGAAATTTTATTATTAAATTTTATGAAATTAATTTTATCTGTACAATATGAAATTTTATGGACATTAAAGGAATATTTCTGTAATTCTACAAACTTAGGGCTGACTTTTATTCTATTGATCTGCACATGACTGAAAGAAAATATAAACAATTTCTGCAAAATGAATTGATTATTGTAGGATAACCCATTAAACATGGTCCTCGTAGGATAACGCTCCAAGTATGGCCCGGTGGACCAATAAATCACGTAACTGAAATTGTTGCATTTTAATCTGTGCCATTAGCATTTTTAGGACTGATCGTAATAGTTATTACTCAAGCCCACATTCTGAGTAGCCATCAGAGGCTGTTAACAATGAGTCTTTCTCAAAGCTCTGAAATTCTTGACTGCATTTTCAGTGTCAAATACAGTTTTGGTATTACTCGCACAAGTTTTCTTGGTATACAAGCACTAGTACTCGACTAGCGCTTTATAGTACAGTATATTGAGGTTCTACTCGGAATGGCACATTGCCAATTTACAATGCTGGCAACAGCCACCTCATACTTTTTAAACATCTTAGCATTTCTCATTGCAAGATTGGTGCGTGAAGTTCATGCCTACAGTTGGTATGTCTTTAAGGTGTGATTTAGCCAGAACCCTTCTCTTTCCCCCCACCCCCCTGCTGTGGAATATCAAAAAAATTTGCGCATATAGTATACAATATTCCATACTGATTTCCAAATATTTACTCCACATTGGAAAATACCAGTGCACTTATGGGTGCAGATAAACTTAATGCTTAAGTAAACACTGAAGATTAAGTGAATGTTCAAGTAAATGCTGTGATTAATATAAATTGAAAATGCAAATAGGAAATGCTTGTGTTCATCAAAAATAAATGTAGTTCAAAATTTTAAATGTTCAGAAATGCTGAAACGCACTTCTCTTAATCTGCTCTGAACGTTTTCTTGACACTTCTTGAATGGATAGTACTATTTGCATTCTTTAATCACAAAAATTAATTTTTTTATAAGATCTCACCGTTATTACGCACATTTTTAGAAATTTGTAAACACTTGAATTTGTGAGTTAAACAGCTCGAAATGACTCCTAATTGTTTTTTGAACACAAAAAACTTTGTTTCTAATTTCAAATTTACAGTAATGCATAAACGGCACCAAAGTTTTCAAACAAAAATGCATTTTGAATCTGAAAGCAGGAGTGTGTAGTATGCATTAAAAACAGGATTTTTTCCACCAGTGGACAATATGCATTTTGACTTGTCCTCATTCTTACATTTGAAGTAGCAAGGCATGCAGAGATCACAAAACAAAGAAAATGTAAAAACAAACTACATTTACCATTTCCCACAAAAATGCTTATAAGATTCATTTATAATTGTGGAGATTGATGATAAATTATTTTTTTTCATACCAATCAAATTGGATGGATCTACCATTTGAATAATTGAAAATTTATAAAAACAAATATTTTTTGTTCTACTTGCAGTACTAGAATTGTCTGTTATAGTTTGAGCAACAATTTTTTTTTTTTGACATTAGTAATCAAAAGGTGTCAAATTCTTAAGTATTTTATTTTTTATTAATCTCTGAAATATCTTTGGTTTCTTGTCATTGGCTAGCTTAAGATTAGTGAGAGATTTTGAAGGGAACAGCCTACTTCGAGAAAGGGGAAAGAATATGAGGATGTAGATAACTTACGGAAAACAAAGTCCTTAATATTTCTTAAAATATAGATAAATAGGTAGACCTCTGGGTGAATTCGCCACATTATATGGAGTTAATAGATTAAATTTGTCTGGAGAACGAAAAATTGGCTTCTTAAATCAATTAAATTTAGGTGAAGTGTTTAAATTTTATATAATAGCTGCTTTTTTAATACATATCCCTAAGCGTGGAGGCTGTTTGTGTAAAATAACGATTTTTTTTTTAAGTTTGCTTGAATTTAAATTGTGTGTTGTGTACAGTGTTGAGGAAAGGGAGGATTACTGTTTGATTTTCCTTTTGAAGAGTATAAATGCAATTATCTTGTACATCGAGTGTAGCCGGGTGCTTCGCTCGATTGAAAGGCTTGGTAGGTTGCATTAAAAGATAACCATCTCAAGCATTGAGTAAAGGACTCCATGTCGAATTCCTTTCTTAGTACTTTCAATCGTTTCCGAAACGGATGGCGCGCTATGAGCCGCAGAACTATACTGATCTAACTCAAGTGCATCCTTGTACTTAGCTGGGGTCCAATACGTGGCCGCGGCGTAGGTTGCTACAGGTCGGCAACATGTTTTACAGAGTGCCAAACGAAGGTCCAAGGGGAGTGAAGGTTCCCTCAAAAGAGGTTGTAAAAGATGGGCTTTAAATTGAAGTATTGATCGAATTCGCCTGGCATGTGCCAGCGCATCCTTCGATCAAAAGTGACGCCCAGGTAAGTTGCCATGGTCGCCAGTGTTTTAGTATCAGGTGTAATTTGTTATGGCGCGTTGTGAAACGCTTTGTGCACTTTTGTTTGCGGCGAGTCTTAACAGATTGAGACTTTTCCGCTGAAAGAGTCAAATGGGTTTATTCCACCCACGTAAGCGTCTGGTTCATCTGTTATGAACTAATTTCTAAAGTTAAGAAGGGACGTAAAGGTGGTCTCCTTCCCATGGAACTAGTCATTTCTTAGGATGTGAATAAGAACGTAGAGCCGTGCCATGTCTACATCCTGCTTTGAAGATAATCATACTGTAATGTGAACATGTAACGCCTGCGGGGCTGTATCTTTCGTGGTCGCTTTCTAATACTTCTATTGTCAAATAAATACCATGGGCGGCAAAACCCTCGCGTATTCTACTATTACGAAATATTTTTAGTAGAGGTTTTTGCTCTAGAAAGATATCCTATATTTGTGGATGCCACAGTTTGAGTTAACTCTACTCGCGATTATTTCGTGAACCCAATAGCGATCCCTGCGGTCACTACAAAATGGGAAAAATTAGAGACCCAGTTTTGCTAGACGTTTCCGAACTATTCGGTTCTCTTCAGCAAGGCGAAGAAGCCTTGGAACGGATTGGATTGAATGAAGGCTGTGCTTCAAAATTGTTGCAGCCAAAAGGCGTGAGCCACGAACTTTGTACACCACGAAGCAAACGCCTTTTGGCTTTTGACTGCAACAATTTTGAAGCACATACTTCATTCAATCCAATCCGTTCCAAGTTCCATTTTGCAGTGACCGCCCATTTGGGATCAAAGTTTATCCCAAGACCTTGGCAACCCTACCAAAACTCAAAATTTCTGTGTGGTATTTTGGACCCATTGTACAAGGTGTTTTAAACAAAATACCCTTTGGGAAATACTAGCAAACATATTGTTTGGTTTACGCCTACGTCATCTTTTGCTATACTGTTTCGACTTCAATTCGTCTCATCAGCTTGGGAAATGTTGAGATCAGCGACATGGCTGACCGCATACCCAAGGACAGTAGTGGGTTGATTCTGGAAACTTTTAGGATCAAACTTTGTACTCCACGAAGCAAACGCCTTTTGGCTGCAACCATGAATATTTAGTGTTGTTCATATTTTGAGTTCCGATATTTAATAGTTATTCAGCGCAGATTTGAATCTAACAAATGAGATATAATCAGAATTAAAGAAGGTCAATTAATACGATCAGAACAAATGTGGAATGGAATAAAATGGTAGTGTTTGTGAAAGATAACGAAAATAAAACAGGAGTGTAATTCTCAGAAGATTGTTACTGCCTGCGGTAGCGGGCGGGGCGAAATCCCTCGCTCACCATACGGGGGGCGCTGAGCCATGTGGTTATCGCGGGTGGTCCGGTGGCGTAGTAGCGCAAGGAGCTCGCTTGCAGACTCCATCGTTGCAACAATGAGTTAAAGCAAACGGCCTTCCTCTTCACTCTAGAGATACTACAGCTCATATCATCCAACAAGGAATTTCATCAGACTTCGAACCAAAGAGTATATATCGAACTCGAACTCTCGTAATGAAAGATAAAAGAAAAATGTAACTTACTGTTTCACGTATCTTGGAAACCCAAATAGTCATTTTAATGGTTAATTTCGCATTTTTGCAATTGGGCACCCAGCATCTTCTCGAAGCCTTAATGCACGCTTCAGACTTTAAACGTAGCAGTAAATCACAAAATTTCTCGTATTCACAGGCCGCTAAATCCCGTCAAAGGCGCTACAAAGAGCATGTCAGAGCACGTGAACGCAACGCCGTTCGTCGTCGAAGAAATCCAACGGTAATGAACCGGTTCGAAAGCAGAGACGTTTCAAAATGAGTAGTTCGCCTATTCACCGCTAGAGCGAGTTAGTGTTGTACAGATGTATATGGCGTCGTTCTGATTTCTGATTGGCTACTGTACGGAATTCGAAGAAGGACCGGACGTGGCCTATCTAGTGTCGGGCGCCCGCCAGGTTGCGGGCCGCAACCAGAGAGTATATTTGCAACTTGCGGCAGTTTGAAGTTGAACGCAGAGGGGAGTGATTGTGAGAACTCCCCGGTGTAGTGTGCGAGTTCGAGCCAGCCAGCGTGCACGTACTTGTGATGGGTGTGAGGCAGAGCAAGCGGTTACAGTGGGCAGTGGGTGATGAAAACAATGTCACATGATAAAAAGGATGACCTAAGGTTGATTTTGTTGATGTTGAATGTTCGTCGGTCTGTAACCACGCGTTAACTTGTTTACTCGAATGCAGGCGTTTCAGGTGAGCACCGATTTCTGTCCTCGAACGTATTTTTGAATTGTAAGTATATATTGAACATTTTTAAACTTATTGTCAACAGTCATCGTTAAGTTTCGACAACAGTGCCTTGAGATACACCGTTCCCATATACTGCACGGACTTATAGCCGAACCCTGATATGCACTTCAGCCATATATCTTAACAAGTTTTTTATAATTTTATACTGTCTTATAGTGGTATTTCTCATATTTCGCGTTAAAAATATTAGGCAGTAGACAAATTTTCTTCAGTTCTTTTTATTTTATTACAATTCAAAATTTAAACTTATATTTATGTTTTTCCAGTCTTCAACGACGTTTCGAGAGATTTTGCACTCCCCATCTTGAGCTCAACCGAAATAATAAAATTCATTTTAAATCCTAAATATATAACAATAACCTAAATTGAATTCTAGATAATTAGCATAAACACAAACTTACAATTTTTTAAATAACATGTTTTTAAGGTTCAACAGATACTGGTTATAATGTCTAAAAGTTTTTAAGAAATTTGCTGTGTTTTTGAAATTTAGAAAGCTATTTCAAAAACATTATACAATTTTGGAATTAAACAAAAACATGCCTGCTGTCTAAGAATTTTAAAGAAACCTGTTCTTAAGAGAAATAGTCTTTACCATAAATAGTCAAAAAACAGGAAATTTAGAGTTTCCTGATTAAAAGGAATTGAAGTATAGCCAGTGACCTTCTTCATTATTATTATTATTATTAATGCCTATTTAATGTTTTACTCAGGAAAATTAATACCAATATTATTTCTTTCTGTAAAGAATACCTTTTCGGATGATCGTATACTGTGTTTTTCCTTTTTATTTGTCTAAGGTTAGGATACTGTATGCTATTTAGGCACTTGAAGATATGCTCTCACTTCTTTTTAATTTTTTTGTTATGAATTTTGGTGCATCATGAAGAGATTTTATACATCAATAACAAAGTGATGTAAAATTTATCAAGTATTCTAGTTTTACAATAAAAATGTCAATTTAAAATTGTTTATTTTGGGGAATTCTAACATGCTCAAAATTTCTATTGTTTTTTGATTTTTATCAATCAATCAATCAGCAGCCCTTACTATTTCTTTGTGAATTCGATTTGAACTTACAATGGGATGTATCATTGTAAATGTCATAGCTACTTTGGCATAAAATTTTCTATTGATTGTAGTTATTTGTATTATGTTTAGATTGCAAAATGATTAATCCTAAACTAATTTAAAATTTTAGGGAATGCAGAATTTGAGGAATTACAAACTGCAAGAAGTAAACTGCATGCACCAGTGATCTTAATGGTTCTCATCATGCAAGACAAAAGTGGCATTTGCTGTTACCACCGACTTCAATCACCAATCTGGCAACTGTCCAGTAAGAATATTGGAAGTTTGTTTTGGGTCTTCTATTTTAATTTATTTCAAATATTTACCCATTCTAATTGATGTAGTAGTAGTGTTTATTGATGTGAAAAATGGGCTATAGGTTACAATACCTGAAGTGAATGATCCAAAGTAAAATCATTGTAACTCGTTTTTTTGGGAGTGTGGAGATATCCATGTTGTTTAATGCAGGTTTTCTGTCATTTGACAGTCAGAAATATGTGCATAGGTAATGACAACGCTTAATTATTTAAAAATGAACCTGACATGTTTTTGCTGAGTTGTGGTTAATATCCACACTTTATAATGCACTAGCTGGAAATATTAACTTTTGAGGTAACATGATACTACTTAAGAAAGAAAATGTGCCACTTCTGGCTGAGTTCTATAGTTATGTTAGTCATTATATATTTCTGTTGCTATAACTCTAAAAAATGAGTAAAATGAATAGTAAATGAGCACTAGTTTTCGTAACATGAATAATCAATTTTTTTTAAAAATTGTTGAACCTACGAAATGGCAAGATAATAGTTTTTGTTACTTTGACGTATTTGATGTTATTTTTATATATTTTCCACATTATGTTGCAAATTTCTACTAAAAAGCAGACTGGGTGCAATTGTTGAATGTTGCTTGGACTTCATCTTTTCTCTTTATGTATTACGGTCACATTAACTTCAAGGTCATGAGCGACCTCATGATTTGTACAAGAGACTTACAATATTTGAAGTAGTCTACAAGAATTATATTTGAAGTATAAGTATTAATATTTGAAGTAGTATTACAAGAAGTACAAGAATTACAAAAGTTACAAGAAATTTGAAAGTTCGTCCTTATTGTAGTAATTATGGCAGCTTCTCATAATATGGTGACTGAGCATTTGTTGGTCAGTGACATTCATATTGCAAAGGTTTTTCTTTAATGCATTCACAAAAAAAAAACAAAAAAAAGTTGCAGTATACCAGACCATGATACTGTAACAACTGTTCTTGTTTTCTGTGTTCCCCTTGCAAAAATGCATTTTTTCCAGGAAAACACGATAAAAAAGAATCTGCTTGATGATTTAATTTGCATCTGTTTGCTTCATGAATTGTGCTTCTCACTACCTAATGCTCTCTCTTTTCAAAGTCTTTTACTTTGATTATTATTGTGATGAATTGCTATGAAGATTTAGTATTTGAAGGAGTTTGAGAGATCGAAGAATGCATGCTGTTGACTTCCGGTTAACATTAGTTTTTGAGAAGGTGCAGAAAAGTTGAAAGTTTGTTTATTATTATCTTTCCTGCAATCATCAGAACTCTCGCTTACATTTTTCAACATTTTAGAGAATTGATTAATTGTTATTAATAAATTAATTGACTAAAATTTTTTTTGTGGCTTCTAGCACTGGTTTTCTTTAACAATTCAAATGAAGAATTATTGTATTTTGTGTATTTTGTTACTCTACCTTCATTCTATTAAAATAATATATTGTAAATTATCGAAAATATTGATGTGCTGTCTAGAAGTTTGCGATATAAATAAAAAATGAATGAACTACAGATATAAAGTTATACATCAACAATCTATATATTTTGAACACTTAAGGTTTTTCTTTCTGAAAAAATTGAGCTTTCTGCCAAATTTCGTGAATTTTGATTTTATTTTTTAATAAAGGTTATTTGGCTCTAGATATGTTCATATTAACTACTTTTGTAGTACAGCAAACCAAACTACAACACATTGCATACATTGTATTTGGTCTTTGTCAGTTTATTTAGTGAATTGCAATTGAAGATTGTTTTTAAACGCAAAGATTGGAGAGGGTATGCAAATGTAGTATCCAGCAATCATGCAACTCATGTCCATTACAAGAAAAATTCAGGGATTAAAATTATTAGTTTCCTTGCTTTTTTAGTTGGATAGCATATAATCTCTATGTATGTACAGATCTTGATATATATAAAAGTTTCAATTATGTGTTCAGAAAAATGTTTAACTTTGTGTGTGCCATGATTAGAGAGTGTATTGTTTTAGAATTTTTAAATTTCTCGTATTTCATCAGTTTGTTTTAGATCAATTACTGAATGACATGAAACAACATTTTTGAGTATTTTTTGAATTTCCATTTTGTTTATATGTAGTAATTTTTTGCTGTAACATTTCTACAGCTCTTGCTTTTGTAATTGCAACAGTTAGGACAGTTTTTAAATGAATATAGAATTCCATTTAAGATAGTTTTGTGATTGTGCGATTGTTCTCGTTTCGGATGTTTTTGTTTGTGCCGTCTCGTAGGGAAGGACTACTATTTACGACTGGAGTGGGACGTGGTGGCACGCCCTTGCCAGCCTCCACGCATTCCTTTCGTGGAAAGATAAGGGGAGGGTTTGTTGGGGACCGCCGCCCTTCCCAAAAGCAGGCCAGACTCTGGCAGTTGGAGTTTCCTGAAAATGTACGTCTTCCAGTGACATTTCTCACCCCGGAAACTTCTGATCCGAGGGGTCATCCATAAATTACGTAAAGCTAAAGGGGGGGAGGAGGAGGTTTCAAGTGGCGTTTTGCTACGTTACGTAGGGGTAGGGGGTGTTAGTTTCGTGTTACGTCATATAACATTTATATCTTTTTTAGTTTTTCAAGCATTGCTAAAAAAATCCCTTTTTAGTCCAATATTTAAATATTAACTTGTTAATTTGTTTCAAAAATATAAAGAAATTAAGGTAATTATAAATTGTTACAATAATTGGAAATATTTTTTCATCCATTTTTATGTTAGGGATTTAAGATTAGGAAGAAAGTTTTGAAAACTGGTCTGCAGGGTATTCTAGAATCCAATTAAATTGGCGCAGTAGACTTTCGCCCTTGCGTCATTCACGACGGTGGCGGCGTGTGCATGGATTGTCAAATTTTCGCGTCTCTGCGTTTTTCCTTCACTCAAAAATTGTCCCCAATCTTGTCAGTAGCAGCAGTCGTCATCGACAACTAATTCAGTTTTTAAAATTCATAAATTCAATATATTACACAAATAGGATACAAACCATACTTATTGCTCTATAATTTATTTTCACTTCTTGTAAATAGGGGTGTCGCAAACGTCCTCCGCAATATTCGTTTGAATGCAGCAAGCATGTTATCCCCTGCGATTGATTCTAAGTACGTTGAGACGTAATTTGCTTGCTAGGCGGCGCTTACACTACGAGTATGAAGATTAAGACTGACGACGTCGCAATTAGAACCACATAAATATTTCAAATTATTTATTTGGGGATTCTTACGAGATAAGTCCCTTCAGAAGACTACGTCATGTTTGTTCAGCTCAAGTGAAAGTCAATAGACGTTTCTCGCAAAGCTTAAATCAGTCCTTTACTTAATATATATATATATATATATATATATATATATATATATATATATATATATATATAATTCCACATTGGTACAGAGCCCTCTGCCCCAGTGAACAGTGCTTCGGAGAGTCCCTTGGGGTAGGGTCGGAATTTTTTCTGGCACGTTAGGTCTGAATAACCATACATTCGTGTACGAGGCACGGGGCGTGCTTCCTTGACATTGCCCGGGTGCGTGACAGTCGAATCATTCTCCCCCTCTGTTGAGGCGTCCTCCAGCCGTACACCAGTGCCTTTAGAAGTGCCTGCTGCCGGGCCGTACTTAGAGGAATTCGAAGTGTTCACGTGGCTAAGTGGATGAATCACGGCCGGATGTGTATTGAAACGGCTTCTTCCTACGTTCCATCGCACAATACAAAGCATTCTTTGTATATTGATTCTATATTACTCGTACATTTGTTTCAATGCTATTAACATAATACACACACTAAAAAAACGAATACACCATAAATGAATAAAGTACTTCGAAGAAGCGCCGTTTCAATGGTTACCATTATTCCTTCCACCTTTCAAATTGTGGTGCTACAACGGCTCATACGCTCCCCAAGTGTTTCTAAATTTACACTTTTCGAAAATTCAGAGTTAAACGAAAATGCGATCTGAGCCATTCTTTTAGGATTCACTTGTTCTATCCATTGAAAGCATTTGGAGCGGTTTTTGAGAAAATGTGTTTTTTATGTTTTGCAAAAACTTCGAGCAGAAATTACGTGAAAACTACTCACTTTTTAAAAATATTGTAAATGACCCTTTTTAGAACACTTTCATTTAAGACAAAAATCTGTCTTTAATATTGTACTTTCCCAATGTTAACTTTTATCAATTTTCAAAAATATAGTGTGTTCGCCGAAAACGACAATATTTTAGCAAAAAGGTGAAATAAATTTTTAAATTTTCAAAAAACCAAGGATATTAATGAAAATGAGATCTGCACTATTCTTTAACACAAATATTTATTTCATAAGCATATATTCATGTACTTTAACGTCACTATCCCTTAGGCTGCCACTAACTTCTTGCTTTCACTTCACTGACACTGGAGGCACACACTTTCTAGGCAGGGGCTCCAGCTTGTCTTTTCTGTTGTTCCGCAGGCACACACACATTCCCTTCCTGTGGCACGGGGTGGAGGAGAGCGCCTCTGCGGACTCTGTCCCGCGCTATCTGTTTGTACTCACGCGGAGCCGGGTATAGATTGCCGGTGAGCGTGTAGTAGCATGCCACACTGCCATCAATGGCCTCGATTATTCTTTCTCTTGAGGCTTTTATCTTGGCCGTCTGCAACTTTCTTTAGTGCGGCGTCACTACTCGAGTAATGTAAATTTGGCTGGCAGGATCTTCAAGGTAACTAAGCCACTTCGACTTTGACAAAGAAGTGGATTTATTTAGAAGTTCAGTTCATATGACTGGTAGAACTTGCAACTAAAATGTGAACCCGCTTGCAGGGCTCCCCCTGTATTTATGTGCCCCGAGGGTGCTTATCATAACCCAGGAGGAGGGAATGGATCAGGAGTGCAGCGGTGGGTGCTGCAAGATGTTTTTTTTTTTATTTATTTCGAATTTTGATTGCAGATGAGTAGGGATGGACTTTGGAGCTGCCTGATTCAGAGTCAATATGAGTCAGTCCCTTCATTTCCTTGCTCGGCATTGCGAACCTTAACCTTGTTTTCGGGCGTCCGCGACGCCGCTGTGAAATATTGATTTAGAACTGATGTGGGTGTAGGGGTGACTCCCGCACGCCGTTCTCCCATTGCGTCTTCCACTAGCGGGAGTACTTCGGCGATGTGCAGGACAAGTGCTGCCCACCACTGCCTGATTCTCCGGGAGCACCACCACGCTGCAATGGCTGCTGCTTTGCAAATGACCCCGATGTTGGGTCGGGCGTACCATAGTGTCTTTTACGCTATCCGATGACAAAGTTAAATTAAATAATTGGAGTTATTTTTGAGAAACTTCATGTTGGAGTCATTTTTGAGGCCTCATGTCAAGTACACCCCACCCCCACCCTAAAAGCACCCCCAAAGTCAAAAGACCCGTTTGAAATTCAGAGGGCCGCGAGTTCCTTTTAGTCGATCGAGAAATATTAATTTTGGAGATAATCGGCTGAACGGTTTTAGCGCTAGCGTTGACCACAGAGAAGACTGACGAAACGTTTTGTCGTCAATCGATTTTTCGGTATCGAAGAACCACCAATCATGGATGGATTCTGACTATGCAACGTGATGCAGGAAGTAATTTACTAGGTATAGGAGCAAGATTTATTCACTTTTTCGTTCCCAGGGCCCTGCAATGAGAGTTTTTCTGTCGAAAATTTACCGTTTTGTGGCGCACGACTGCAATACTCGAATCGCCCTTTGCAGAAAGGTCAATTGCAAAACTGGCATCGCCAGTCATTACTAGTTTTGAGAAAACTGCAAAGAACATTCTGTATACTGTATTATGAGCTCAAAGCCGAGGGTAAAAAATCAAAGTTGTTCATTGCCAAGAGTCCGAATTTCTTTAGTTTCAATGAGTTTGGTCTGTTTGCTCCTATCTTCTCCCCTCCAATTTCGCCCCTAATGTGTAAGAACGGAAGTGTTTACAGCTCCATGCTGCAACTGCTATTTTTTAAAATCTAGTTTGATTATAAGTACAACTGGCTTAGGCTATTGGTGTACATTTTCCCTAGGCTTTCTCGACGTACAATCGCAACATTTGCATACTCACTCGCATCAGGAGTAACTATGAGCGGTTGATGAAAGTCTGGATGCTGCAATGGAGGACCTTTGGTTTTTTTGAGGAGGGGAACTCTTGTTTCAGTTCTTTCAAAACCTTGTTGTTCCGCCCGCTTTGCTGCAATTCCATGCAACATCTTTATTTACTGACCGTGTTAGTGGAAAATAACTTTAGTTAAAGTTATGTATAATATCCCCCAAGACCTAAAAATGATTTTACGTCTTTCGTCTTTGGCAGTACAGGAATTATTGGAATACTTAACTTGTTTTTGGATTGTATTCCGACAATGTTTCGCTATAGATAATGACATCTAATTATGTTAGACTACTTAAGGAGCCCGATAAAACATTAATTAATATTTGAAATATAGCAGGTGCTGCTTTTAAACCAAAAGACATTCTTTTGAAATTTACAATGACCTCACCGAGTGCTTAATGCAGTTTTGCAGTGGTCATTTTTAATGTTTGAGTTCGCCGATTACATTTGCACAATCTAAAGCTATCTTAAATATAATCAAAGCTAAATAAAAATGTGTAGCTCGTTTTAATCTAATTTATGAAATATTTCCTAAATGTTAGGAAACCATCACCGACTGGAACATCATTCAGTTTTCAGAAATCAATGCAAAGTCGCCATTTTCTTACGCCAGATGCGTCTATTTTCTTGAA